GAAAACACGTGTCTTGTGGCTGTGATGGTAGTAACATACATAACTGCAATTTGGCTGAAGGTGTCTCTTGCCCTTCTGTGTAAGAAGTGCCACTTTCTTGGCTTCTACATAGTTACGCTCCCCTGGTTGGTTTATATAACAACAGCTGCTTTCAGACAGGAAATGGTTGGTTTTGCATGGGGTCCAAAATTCATTTTGCGCACAGCTGTGTTTCGCAGCGTGTCTGTTTTATGCATTTTGAAAACCCATTTAATGGACAAGTGTAGGATGAATGTGCACTCGTAACATAACAAGTACATGTGGCTGTGCTGGCATGTCTGTAGAGGAGCCGTAAAAAACACTTAAACCGTTAAATGATCGCATGCCTTCTGCAACCCAGAACACATTTAACTGTGAACTAGAAACTCTGTGTGCTTCGATAACACGGCTGATGCATATTTATTAGCAAAGTAAGAGGTTCATGTTCAATTTAGCGTTGTATGTGAGTGGAGATCATTTAAGCAATTATCTGGTATCTATAGACTAGTATTTTTCCAGAACGATACATATGCATCTTTGTGCCCAATGTTATCAGAAAACTAAATTTTCCTTTTGGGATGCTTTTCTAATTGTCTTTCTAATAATAAATATTTACAAATATTTTATGTCAGATTTTAAGCATCCTTGGATTATAATATTATTGTTTTCATGGCTGATGCTTATAAAACATCAAGCATTCTCAACCAGCATTTCTTGTTGATAACCAAAAACTCATGAATCTATAATGGTACATTACAACGATTTAAATGGTGATTTGCTTCAGAGTTTGGTGGATAACGGACAGCTGCACCCCTTGAGTGTTAATGTGCAGCCTCCTTCTTGCAAAATTCTTGCCAAACTTTGGTTTTTGCTGCCCCCTTTTGTTACACAACATACATTGCCCTCGGTTCATCGCAATGTCTCATTAAGAATATTCCATGGTACCAGCCCAACTGCTTTTTTCCAGTCTCTCATTACCATTATGCATAAACGGGTGTCAAATATTTTACTAAGAACAATGACATATCCTGAACCAAATGTGTCCATTTGACATTTTGATGGGATTTTTTTGCGTTCTTCAAAAACTCAGCGTTTCGCTCAACTTCAAAAGGTGCTCAAATGGGCCTGCAGAAGAAAAAAACTCCATGAAGTTAAGCGTCGAGCCGTTCCAGCAACCACAAACCCGAAATCCCAGAGCCTTGTTAACGTTTTCCTTCCTTTTTTTGCGGTGATCCTGCAGCTGGTGTGATCATCTGGGTAATTGCTAACATGTGGCGAGCTTTTAATACACACTTCCCTCGCTCTCCATAAAAAAAAAGAGAAGGAAAGTTAAAATGTCTGCGACCACTACATCATTTGGAAACATATTTCCCTTGATGCAATTAGGGTTCAAAGGGCAAGCGTTGCTTCGCCTTTACCGACGTGGAGAGACAGGTTGGGAGGGTGGGGGTTGTAGGTCTCATGTAACTTCACATTTCAACATCAAAAGCCTTAATATGACCATCTGTTGATTCTTATCGATGAAAGGGGATGCATCGTTGTAAAGAGAGGCGTGAATCAGCCACCTTTTAAATGTAGGGCCTCAAATGGGTTTCTGAACAGTCTTGCGTTTGAAAATTGAGCATTGAAAGTGACAGCAGAGTTTTAACGTGTGGGCGAAGCAGTGAATGGTGCCGGCTTTATTGCCATGTGTTCCAGAAACTTGTAATGCATGCAGAGTATTTCTAAAATAAAAAAAATAAAAATCGCCTTTTATATTTCCCATACACTTTCACGAGATAAGTGACTGTGAACAGATTTTACAAGTTACACCTTTTGGGGTGATGAGCAATGCAATTTTTGCACCAAATTTACATTGAGTAGTGCCCTGACCTTTGAACCACCCAGCCATCTCTTGTGTAATCGTCAGCCAAATATCTATGTACTGCTGGATGAATGCCTCCCTCATCACAATCCACTGCTGCTCCTCTTAATCTCACTTGTGCACATGAACCAATATATATTATATATATTCTCCAACTCCGTGGTGGTTGTGATCTTACACATATTTCTTCCTTTGGCTGATATTCGATCATTCAGTCTGGTTCATTGGCCAACAGCTTGCTTTGTGGTGTCCTGCACGAGCTCATTTACTTTTCTTCACCGTCAATATTTTGTCTCTGATTTGCGTTCCTTTCCTGATCCTTGTGCTGAAATCGAACGAGCGTCTCACTCGCCTGTAACGGAGACATCCCTGCCACGCGGGGGTTTATCCATGAGAATAAATTATTTTTATTTTTCCACCTGTCGTCCGTCCTCCCCGTCCACTTTCTAAATGAATTTTTTGAAAAAGGTGTGAATTTGTCTTCTCGTGTGTCTGCTGGCCACACACTCTGGGTGGCATTCTCTCATTCCTCTTTTGGATTTAAAATTTAGAATCGTTCTGTCACCTCTGTTCCTCTTGCTATACCCTTACGGTGAAGTCTCTCACAATTGCTATGCTGTAGCATGACCTCGTTTTTGCCTGTTTATAGCGTGCAGAACACGCCTTGTTGATTCGTAAACTTCCAGAGCATTTAAACTTATTGACCCAATTTGACGAGACTGCAAATTAGAATGAAGGGATTAGCTATTTATGATGCTATTTTCTTTTGTATTTTCAGCACAATTTACGGTAATCGGTAGCTTGCCGATAACGACACGTAGTTGCATGTGACTCAAACATACCCACCCATAACTAATTGGACTTAATGTAGCTTGAAGTGAAGGGACCTCTTTAAACGGTCCAACCGTGGCATGCTGTGTATCCTCTGGAGAGTCTTAATAGCAGTTTTGTTATTCTTTCTAGAAATTCCAACTAGGTGTAACAAACACATGTTAAACCTGAGCACAAATACGTACGTGTTAAGAATAAAACGGGAAACGGGCTACACTACAGTGATTCATTGGGGCAAGGGTTCGTAAACTCTATCAACGAATGTTTCATACTCGTGTTTCTGTACATGAGCACTTTGTTTTATGCATGCACAAAACTACTACTAACTACAGTTAAATGTGTTGCATTGTTCACTGAAATTGGTGTGAACATTCTCCGATTGCATGGTGGGAAATCCTGCACTGCTTTGATTCGGCAGTGTTTACAGCAATTCTGCTCACGGAAGCCGACCGCATCACACAATGTGCAACACAACTTCCCGCGTTTGAGATTTCCTGGCTTTGCTTGTTCTGCTGTTCATTCAAACAATGCTTATTGTCATTAATATTTTTGTAATATAAAAAACAAGAAACATACAATTTCGATTTAAAGCTTTTGTGACTGCAGGGATTCATCTTCTTGGTTCTTTCGGTAAAGTCACGTAGAAGGGAAGTGATAAAATAAAAATAAAACATAATTAAATAATTCTCACGACGTTTCGGCCACAACGCAAGCAGCCGTCCTCAGGTGAAGACCAGGTCTGTTGGGGAGACAGCGTCTGAATGTCGTGAGAATTATTTTATTATGTTTTATTTTTATTTTATTACTTCCCTTCTATGTGACTTTACAACCCTATTTTACTATTACATTACTTTAGAATGTTGCGTTTCTACTGGTATTTTGTTGTGGAAGCCAAGTGCATAATTGTTTAGATAGTGAAATAGATGATATAACAATGTAGGGGAAGTAAAATTTGGAGACGTTTCACTGAGTTTTCAAACATTGTTTGGTGTCATGTCGACCTGAGTAGTATTGTTTATGCAGTTGTGTACAGAAAGTCGAATTGTCACTGCACCGTACACATGTTGAATGAATGAAATACATTTTTTCCCATAAAAAATGGTCCAAACTTGATACAGTTTGTTATCAAATTATGTCAAAAATGTAATTGACGGACAAGATGAGAAACATAAATGTATTATGGATTCTTCTTTTGTATGGCTTATGTAGATGCAGATCAACAGCTACAATTTCACATTCAGGCGCTCAAGCTAGATAACCGGATAGTCGCCACAAAGAGATAATAAGAATAATGACATAAATGCAAGATAAGTTTATTGCATATGTAATGAGAAAACAAGAGTGACTGTACATTTTTTGATGGGGAAAATTGTAGATATTAGAAGCCTTCGAGAATGGCTTGATGACATTAATATATTTGTGCCAAAAAGATGAAATTGGAAACAAATGACAAAATGTGCAGTGGACACCTACAGACTAGCTGTGCATGGATCGTGATGATGATGACAAGCAGCTGGAGAAGACGGAAAATTACGTACCAAAGCAATTTGAACAATTAGATGCAACCGTTTGGGATTCATATCATGGACAGAGCTAAATAGAAGGCCACAATTGCCGAGGTCTTTGAGAAATGACCCAGCACAGCAAATAGATACATTGTGTACGCAAATCCTGATTATTTTACTTTCTGAATCTGTATGTACATTATATGAAGGATGGTAATGCATTTACTTTGTGTACATGAGTATTTTGGTGTCAAATATTGCTCGTGACTAAATGCACTTTTGCGTATAAACTGTACGCGCATCAGCAATCGCACTTGCTCACACACCTTGTAACTTCTATTGAATTTGCATACAAGTGCATATTTCAAGTCATTTTACAAGATGGGCACAATGAGCTGCAAGCTGGTTTACACTACAGCGGTGGTGGCCAATACACCAAGCACTGGTGGATCTCAATGGGCTCTGCGATCCACCATAATTCTGAACCAACAATTACCCTGATGGATGTAACCCTCTAATAAACTTCTCTAGAGACACACAAGCTACTAGTGCTGTCGATTGGTAAAAGTTATTTGTTTAACGTATGCATTCTTAACGCAAAATTGTTGTCTGCTTGTGCTCATGTTCGGTTCTGATTCGTCCTGAGATTTACAATTCATCTTTCGCGATCTATCCTGGATTGCGAGCCACACATTGGCGCTCTATACCTAACGTGTTGATTTTCGCTGCGTGTACGCGGTGGTTAAAATGGCTGTTCCCCTGTTCGGCTCCTGTCACTTCAGATGGGAGTGAGTGTCGTTGACTCGTCGGTGGCTGGGCTGGGAGGGTGTCCGTACGCGCGCGGGGCGTCTGGAAACGTGGCAACAGAGGACGTGGTCTACATGCTCAACGGCCTGGGCATCCAAACGGTGCGTTCACCTTCCCACGCTCGACGTGTTCACCTCACCATTACCTGCTTGGGCAGAACACAGTCTTCTTTGTATGGCTGGTGTTGTTACAGAGCAGTGTTCTTCACTAATTTTCAGAGCGGGGGGCTACTTTCGCCAATAAGACTTCAGTGTGAGGGCTGCCACACTGCCTGCAAGAGGATTTTCACATTTGTGTATTGTCAAGGTTGCACGTCAGGAGACGCACTAAAGGCCACCAGGGGTTGCCAGTGGCCTGCGGGCCTTGCAATGAAGAACACTGTTATAGAGCGACAATAAAAAATGTACATTAACATGTAAAGGTGTAGGCTTTCCCCTTTTTATGGCAACAAAACTTAAACCTTTTTACAAGGAATCATGTCTGCATTAACCACAATACTTGTTGTCAGAATACAAACAAAAAAACACACTCTGATCATATATGCATTGTCCTTGAAACTTATTGGTCCACACCAAGGATAATGCATATATGATCAGAGTGTGTTTTGTTGTTTGCATTCTGACCACAAGTATTGTGGTTAATTCAGACATGATTCCTTGTAAAAAGGTTTAAGTTTTGTTGCCAGAAAAAGGAGAAAACCTACTCATATTTTGGTACTGGCAAAGGAGGTCCCATAATGTGCAGGTGTGTAAAATGTAAAATGTTATCTCTTTGTGTATTTGCTTACTAGGGTGTGGACCTTCAGAAACTGATTGAAGCAGGGGATTTCATCTGCAAGGCTCTGAACAGACGAAGTGGCTCAAAAGTGTCCCAGGCTACCTCTAAGCTGTGAAGCTGACATCTGCCCCCGTTATACAAATGCCGTCACTTGTGGGTGTGTTGATGTTGGGTCAAGAGAGCCAGTGGTGCTTTGCGTCTGTTTAACGGATCGCGGATCATCATCTGAGGTGGCTGGCTTCATTACCAGGCGAAGAAACCAACTTTGCTTTGAGCTCCCATTCTTTGGTCAATATTCAATCTGTGCAATTTTCTTGTATGTGTGTTTTATGTAATTAACATTTTTGTGGGTCATCTACGTTAATTAATCTGAGGTAACGCTTTTGCCTTGTGCGTCTACAATGTTAAATTGCTGTACGCCTACCTTGTGCTGATGTATTGAAATTGGTGACAACGGTGCATATTAAGCCTAATAGTCATGTTTTCAGTCTCCATTTACAAAATGACACAAACGTGTTGTTGTGCAGTGGGAATAGGGTGTGTGATAAATTACCGGTAACCACTGTAACCATGATTGGTGAGCTTTAATCAATCCTGACATTACCTGCACTGTGCTTGTACGATGCCACTTGTTTAGACCGATGCACAGTTTACTAAACACTTACGGACTAACTTGACAGGATTGAGCACCTTTGGAGGGCATGATGCATGCGTGTGTCTGCTCATGCTGGTGCAAATGGGCCTTGACGCACACGGCTAAAGAATTGTCCCCACATTTCACTGGCAGTCGAGACATGGGGGAAAACAAGATCAATGTATGAGGTGGGCACCTGCGTTTTGCCAAGATAAATTTAAAACCTCATCTAAAATTATTCTTAAAATAAGAGCAGTGTTTTTTGGGTCGTCTTCTTTTAAAAGGAGTAACATTCAGTACTTGTATAGTAATTAGTTGACCGTGCTCTTGGCTGACGGGTTTTACACGTGGTTGGATTGATGCTTTGTTGAAGTGTAAGTTCTCAGGAGGCAACAGTTTGCATAGAAATGCATATTTTGGGCGCATCTGCTGATGTGATTTTCATTAACCTCCAAGTGCTCTCAATTGCAGGGCCTGTTATTTCAGGCAAGTATAACAGTCCAACATTGGGGATTCAGTTTTGCTTGTTAAGTTGTGGAGCCATATTTAAAGAATATCCATTCTCATTTTATGCTGCAGGGATATTAGACTTGGATTGTGTTCTGTCAGCATGGCCGAATTGATGGTTGGTATTTGTAATAATTTTCCGCCCACATTAGTTTATTGCAATCCGTGCATTTATGATGTAGCCAACCCAAAAGCTGATTTAGCTGATCAAACAATGCTACCACGCGCTGGCTTGCATTCATTAAAACCCTTTGTCGCCAGCATGCATTCTTGATCAAGAGCATTGCAATCAGGGGAATTCATTTTAACATTGAATCAGGTAAAGGTGTCAATTCTGTCAGTCTTCTACTGTGTATGTATGCATTAAATGAAGTTCACTTGCACTAACTAAAATAAATCCATTTACAGAGTCCTTCCTAAGGCGATGAATGATCTTGTTTCTGAATTTGGTTATCAGCTTGCGATTATTTTATTTCAGATAACACAAACTGGAGTATACTGGCGTAGCTTACCCACTTCAATACTGGACCAGCATTTATTTGTATGCAAGCTAGCTCTCTCCTTGTGTGGTAAGCAGTATTTGAAACTGTGCTTAGGTAAATATGTATATCTGAACATGGTACACATTACTTGCTTCTTCCTTGTGGGAAGGAATATTGCATCTTATTCATGGCTTGAGACATTGATAAGCTCGTTTGTATTATTGGCTCAATGAAACTTACATCACTATGAATGTGATGTCTGAATTTCAGAGGACTTTACTGATCAACAACAATTGTTATCATTGCTCAGTGTGGATTTGGCATAATTCTGAATAAAATCCTGAACGATAATTTCCCAGTGATAATTGTGTTGCAGTGTACACTGTGCAAGATGCTATAAAATAATGACTGGACAGGTATGCAATGTACACGTGTGTGAGAATGCCATTGAGTTTTTGTGTCTTCTAATTTGTGTTTTAAATTGCCAGTGGTCTAATGAACATTTATACAAAATACCCCAACATTGCATTATTATTTTGTCAAAAGTATATTTTAAAAGTGAAAGTATTTTATCTCCGTAAAAAGTGATAAAATTCCTTTGGTGTTTGTGCAAAATAACTTTTTAAAGTTTGGTTTAATTGCCTTACAATTATATAACACTGGACAGCAGAAAGAATGTTTTCTTTAATTTGTCATATAACATGATTAAACAATTACAGCAAGTGGTGCATTAATTAATAGATTATTAGTTTGCTAATATCCTGTCAGCTGTATGGAATGCTGGTCATGTCTTTGAAGCGATGTTCAGTGTTGTGACTTTGTGGTTTGACCTTGTTTATCTGAGTAGATGCCAATTATTTAAGATAACAGTATTACAAAGTCTGCTGTTTAATTGTGCCACGTGTACATTTTCTGTGTAAATTATACCAAAGTATCAAAATCAATGTAATGCATTCATATGTGTTGCTGTGATTCTTTGTGGATGTGAGCATGTTGAGTGACTGGAATATTGGTATTATTTTGTAATATTTGAGCAACATTTATATACTTCTTAAACAGAGGGACCCCAGTAAAATATATTTATGTTCTAAAATCTGTAAAAAAAATGTAATGTTTATTGGTACAATGTTTACCCTATTTTATCTTGCATATCATTTTTTTATGGATTTAAAATGTTCACATGTACAGTTAGATGATACCTTAAATGTTCGAAATAACAATTCAATCAAGCATTAATTATTAATTTTTCATACACAACCATCGAATGCGAAAGCACTCGTGTATTTTCTTGCCAAAAAAAATCACGACGTTTAGATCGCAACACAAGCGGTCGTCCTCAGGCGGAAAATAATAATCCAGCAATGGAACTGCTGAACCAGGAAGAACACTGGTTCAGCAGTTACACTAAAATATTAAAAGTATATTCTGCTTTTGGGAAATGTGACCAGGAAGAACACTGGTTCAGCAGTTCCACTGCTGGATTATTTTTTCCTGCCTGCGGACGACCGCTTGTGTTGCGGTCGAAACGTGATATATTATTTTTCATTTTATTTTTCTACCTACATGACTTCACCGAAAGAACCGAAGAGTATGGATTGCTGCAGTCACGAAAGCTTCAAATCAAGATTAAAATATAAAAGTATATTCTGCTTCTGGGAAATGTGGCCTTAGTGACATTAAAAGAAGACACCATCTCTACCCGCCAGAGAAACACGTGTCGCGCCGATGTTGACTTGTGAGCAAACTCGCGTCCGACTTGCTTCAATAAGTTACCGCTATGGTGGCACGTGTGCATTGCTGTGAAGGTTCCGTGCAATTTTTGCGACCTCGAAAACGACTCCCAAGTGCAACCAATTAGCTTTCGTGTGAGAGCACTCGGTGCAACACGGGGGGGGGGGGGGGGAGCGACTGCTGGCCGGAGTGATGCACGACAGTCACAGCGCCAAGCGGGAGACGATACGTGGCCGTGGCTCCTCCGCCAGCACAGCTGTGTCCCGCACCATTCCTCGTGCCGAAATGGTGACGAGCAAGCGCTCCAGAGAGAGATCACCGTCTCTTCAATCTCGGGTGGCCGCGGTCTGTTTCATGGGTGTGAGAGAGTTGTGCACAGGTCCTGTTTCTACATTGGCAGCTTTGAAGCGTATCTTTTTAACAAGCAACAACTAATTCTGAAAGATGGTCTTCAGCTACACTGGATCACTTATAAGTGAACACTACTTTGAGCCTCGCTTATGTATGCGTTGCTTGGCCGGGCGGGCTTTGATACTTGTTACTATTTTGTCATTAGCAAGGCGGTGGTGGTGCACGTGGCCTGTGATCCAGCACTGGAAGGGTGGATTTTATAAAATGTTAAACTCCCCGTGGCTCGCCTGGAGAATGCAGTACGTCTGTATGTTGAAATTCTCTTGCACTGGACGTAGCCAACCACGAGTGCAGGTACAGAAAAAAATTGTGGACTCCACCTTTTCCGTCTGTATGGGATTGAGCGTTTCCCCCTTTGCACACGTGATTCCTCCCACGCGTATAAACTCGTCAATTGGCCGATAACACCTTCATATATAGAGGACAGCAAAGCTTGGGCAATTCACCCATTTGACTTCCCGCTTGCCTGGTTTCCCCCCCGCGCCTCGGTCATTCTCTCTGCGGTGCATTACAAGTTGAGATTATCATTGTAACGAGTGTGATGCAGAATTCTGGTTAATCTGGCGTTATGATAGGTCCAATTGTTATGCAACTCGATTCGGAGTCAATCATTCTTTTCGTCTCTCATAAATACACGATAAACATGTTTACAACCCTTTCCATTTTATTAACACTACATAGCATGAGCATTTTCAGGTTAAAATCGCTATAAACTTATAACAGCACTTTTGCAATGTACCGATGCTCACAAATCTAAACACTCTCTTCTTTGGTTTAGTCCACTAATCTCTCAACTGTTTTAAACCGTTTTTGTTACATCTAATACATTTCAGCAGCTATTTGTTTTAAACAATTCAGTGTCAGATCTTCAAGGCTAATTTGTTTAAATACAGCAACAACACAACTGCCCAAGCCTTCGTAATGCATGCAGCAACAAGCCTTGGTAACTGTTGAAGTGTATATATAGTTTGTTAAAAATACATTCTAATGGCGAATGACTACTAAGTTAGCCAAGGAGCCAAAATTAAACGTGTTAAGGAGATGCAGGCACGGAAGTTTACAAAAGCAATTTTGTGTGCAATGCTGTAATACTATAACTATTCCACTGTGCAGAAATACTCAAAAGACTGCCATCGTTTAATCTAACATGCATAAGAAAACTTACAAAACAAAACCCCCAACTTTGTGAAAGAAAACATAATCCAGGATACATGCATATGGCCCACAGGTGATGTTATTTAAATCGCGCAAGGTTTCCGTATTTCGCGTTTAAATTGAAAGTGACCATTTATTCGTGGTTCTGAAAAGCATGCAACTCCTAAAGCAACAACACATTTCTGTAAATATAGAGTCATAAAAATGATAACCTACAATCTCATTTCGCCTAAGCAGCTGTTTGTAGTGGTGATATTTGCTTACGTAACAAACCAAAAAAAGTGTGAGCACTTATAAATTTGTAGTCTGGCCTGGATAACAACAAAGTTGGAACAGAGAAAATAGTTAACAGGGTAATCCAAAAAATAACTGGAAGCAACATGCTCAAAAAATTGCCCACAACATTGATATTTGGATTACTCTATGGAGTAAAATTTCAACCTTGTTAAAAATGAAATTTAAATTTAAAAAAATTAAAAGGCCAACCGTACTCGAAAGTACACGATTTGGTGTGCAAGCTAACAAAGCAGAGTTTCAAACCCGTGGACATTCAGTGCTAATGTAAGCGTAAAACAACAAGCCACATTAGTTATATCGCATCTCCCATGACCACTTTAACCACATTTTCTCGAATAAACTCCCCATCTTGGACCTTTAAAAAAAGAAAAAACTAATCGAAAACGGGACGACGTCAGGCCTTAGCGGCGGCTAAAGCTCGTGGAGGTGTACGAAGACGGCGAGAGGAAGGTGGACGACGTCCCGGTCCCCGTGGCGTCAAAGCTTCCCCGGCGCGACCCCGGACGCGACCCCGAGCGCGACCCGAAGCCGGAGCTCGGCGTGCTGGCGCTGTAACGGCTCGTCAGCCCCGACGCCTCCAGCAATCGTACGCCCGTCTCCTCGTCTGTCATGGAGCGGTCCAGGGCATCTTTGAACGTGATCCGCGCCTTGGTCTTGGGGCACACCAGGTATTTGAGGTGTGAATTGACGTCGCGGATCTTCTTGGCGGTGTAGTTGTCCACGATGCCCTTCTCGACCGCTTCGTCGAGCTGAATCCGCTCGGGTTTCCCCGAATCGATGATGCCGCCGGTGAGGTATTGCACTTCAAAGATGCGCGTTCCTGCTTCCTGGAACAGGAGGCCTTTCTTCATGGCTTGGCCGGTGTGGAATATAGTCTTGGTCCTCAGGTCTTCAAATCCATTATAGGCTTTGTTGGCTTGATTCAGCTTATCAGCCATGTACTTATCTAAGAGTCCCTGGGTTACAGCTTCCGGGATGCTGCACCGTCCTCCTGTGGCTGGGTTGATGATCCCACCCGTACAAGCCTGGGCTTCTAACAGCCTCTGTCCCGTGATGGTGTCTACAAGGTTGCGGCGAATGGCTTCAGTGATGGAGATTTTCTCGAACTTCTGAAGATCCAAAATGCCTCCAATTGGCACCGTCTCCTCTGTGGGGTCACTCCAGGGAACCGATGGTGCTTTTGAGCCTGCCTGAGGGCTTGCAGGAACCGAGGATGCTCCAAAGGAGGAGGAGCGTGAACGGGAGCCACTTGACGTGCCGGACAACTGGTCCCCGAGCTCAAATATTGTCATTTTTCCTGATCTGTAGAGCTGAACAGTCTGTTCGTTAATGACACCTTCAGCCAGTGACTCGTCGATACTGAACTGTCTTCCCGACTTTCTGTCCACCAGAAGCGATGTAGTGACGCCATCTGAAGATGTGATGGTGATCTCTTCCCACTCGCTTTCTTGAGCCGATAGCTGTAGGTATGTAGGCTGGTCTATGAGACCCTTCATGTAGGCTTCGTACACTGTCATTTCCTTGCCGGTGTCTGGGTCGACAACTATGATTTTCCGTTTGCGTACGGACGACTTGGACGACATCTTGCGTTCAGGCTTTTTGTCTTTCAGCATCAGGAGATAGAGGCCAGAAGAATCTTTAGAGCAGCGTTGTAGAAGTTCCATGTACGTCAGATTCTCCTCAGTGTTGGGGTCAAAGAAGCCCTTGGTGTCATCACTTGGATCGAGCAAGATTTGATTCATTTCTTCATCGAACAGGCCTCGTTTGTACGCTAGCTCCACAGGGATTCTGTGACTCGCATGCGGATCAATGATTCCTCCCGTGGCAATCTGCGCTTCCAGTAGGCGGATTCCATGATTTTTCACAATCATCTGCTTTTTAATGGCTTGGAATATTGATATTTTCTGATCTGTGTATGGATCCTTGTATCCCGTGACTGCACGCTCGGCAGAGAGAAGTTTGTCCTTGAATTCTTCTCCAACAACTCCCAATTTGATAGCTTCCTCAACCAGTAGTTTTTGTTTTTTGACTGGATCAATGATGTATCCCGTGGCTGCCTGTGCCTCAAGCAGCTCAAAAGCAGTGCCAGGTCTGATAAGCCCTCGTTTCATGGCCGCATATATGGAAAGTATCTCCTTGGTACGGTCCACAAATACGCCGGCGATGCTGCTTGTGCCCTCCAGGAACACTTTAAGCGATTCACTTACTTCATTCACGCTCACAGAGCCATCGTTGAGTTTGCTCGCGGTCGTCTCGTTTATTAGTCCGGAGTCCATCAACTCGCTTATGGTCACTTGCCGCCTGAATCCTTTAAACGTGATTGGTGACTTTTTGATTTCCTTCTCTCTTCTCTCAATTATCTCAATAATTATGATTATGAGAACTTGCAGTGTTATTTTGCCCGATCGGTAATCTTGGATTAGTTGCTTCTTCTTTTCGCTGTCAATGAGATCGGTCTGGAAGAGTTCTTGAATTGTAACCTTTTTACCAGAAAACTTCCCCACTGGTACGTCCACTGTAGTGTTACTGAAGTTTTGTGTTGCCTGCTCCTCTGAAAAAACGTACTTCTCCTTCGATGAAATTCCCTTTCCTGTGCTTGTAATGATTTCAATGATCAAAATAATGAGCTGCTGCTGCGTGATTTTGCCTGATCTGTAATCTTCCATGAGCTGTTTTTTCTTGCTTTCTTCAATGGCATCACTGGCAAACAATTCCTGCACAGTTACCTTTTTGTTAGAAAACGTCTTTGAAGGTAGCTCAATTGAAATTGACTTTAAGTCTGCTTCTACTTGTGCCACTGTTAAAACTTTTCTGGCAGACTTGGAATCACTGGGCTCCTCCTTAGCTTCTTGGACCACAACTGCTGGCACTTTCGTCACCGCCACCTCTTCACGAGATACCTGCTGTCCTTCCTTCTTATGAATAATTTCAATGATTATTATCAGGAGTTGCTCAATTGTTATCTTTCCGGACCTCAACTCGTTCATCAGCTGCTGCTTCTTGCCAGGATCTATCAACCCACTGTCCAAAACGTCCTGAACTGATGGCTTCTTGCCAGCAAACCTTCCAAAAGAGACATCGATTGAGGTTTTCTTGAGATGTTCAAAAATCTCCTGTGGAGACGCACCCTGCACACTCGATGTTTGCACAACTGTTGACGTGACAACAGTTTGTTTTGACACAGCTAATGAACTTTCTGTCTCTCCCATTGCAAGTGATTCTGGGGTCATTTGCTTGATCATAACCTTATGTTTGGAACCTTCACTTTCTTTTGTCTGAATAATTTCAATGATGATTAGCAACAGCTGCTCAAGATTTATTTTTCCAGATTTGTAATCGTTAATCAGCTGGTTTTTCTTCTCTTCGTCAATTTCCCCACTGTCTAGAACTTCAAGAAGGGAAATCTTTTGGCCAGAAAACTTCCCAATGGGTAAAGTTACTGTTGTCCTTTGAAGACTCTGCACAATATTTTCTTCTGCACTGGCAGAATGTGGATATTGTGCTGTTTCTGAAACATGTTTTTCAGCGGTTACTGTTTTAAATGATATTTTTTGGCCGGTTTGCCCCAGTTCTTTCTTCTGCACAATGTCAAAGATGGCCATGAGTAGGTTTTGAATGTCAATTTTTCCAGATTTATAGTCATCCAAGAGTTTCTGCTTTTCATCTGTTTCCAATAAACCACTTTCCAAAATATCCATGATCGTCATCTTTTTCCCAGCAAATCTTCCGACAGGTAAATCAACTGTAGTTCTCTTCAGCATCTCCATAACATCTTCCCCTGTGGATGAATCATCTTTTCTGGTTGTTGTCACCACTGTCTTCCTAACAACAGTTTGTGTTGACCTTTGGTCGGAAGTCTCTTCGGGAGTATACTTTTCAGCAGTTACCTTCTTAAGCACAACTTTATGCCCAGTCTCCCCCAGTTCCTTAGCCTGAATTATCTCAATGATGTAAACCAGAAGTTCCTGAAGAGTAATTTTTCCAGTTTTGTAATTATCTATAAGTTCTTGCCTTTTAACATCATCGATCTCTCCACTGTCTAAAATATCCTGGAGTGACATACTTTTATTGGAAAACCGTCCAACTGGTAACTTAACGGTAGTCCTGGAAAGACTTTCCAAAACGTCTTGTTCTGGAGAGAGACCCTCTTTTCTTGTTGTTGTTGTCACCCGAGATGGAGAGGTAGGGTCCACTATTTCTGATGAACTGGATTTTTCAGCTGTGACTTTTTTCACTGTTACTTTAGGCCCAGACACGCCGCTTTCTTTAGCTTGAATAAACTCAATCATCAAAACAAGCAGCTGTTCTAAGGTAATTTTGCCAGATTTGTAGTTGTCAATGAGTTCCTTCCTTTTCATATCGTCAATTTCTCCACCATCTAATATCTCTTGAAGTGACATCTTTTTTCCAGCAAACTTTCCAATTGGCAAATCAATGGTTGTTCTCTTCAGTGTCTCTAATGCATCTTCTGGGGATGAACTATCTGCTCTGGTTGTCGTCACCACCGTCTTCTTGATGACAGTTTGTGACTCACTTGAACTGGATTCACCATTATCTTCTGGAGAATGCTTTTCCGCAGTGACTTTCTTCACAACCACTTTGTGCCCAGTCCCTCCAAGTTCTTTTGCCTGGATAATTTCAATGATTAAGACCAACAGCTGCTCCAGTGTGATCTTCCCAATCTTGTAATCGTCTATGAGTTCCTTCTTTTTTGCATCCTCAATTTCACCACCATCCAAAATCTCCTGGAGTGACATACTTTTATCAGAATACTTCCCAATTGGCAATTTCACTGTTGTTCTAGACAGGCTCTCCAAAGCTTCTTGTTCTGGAGATAGTCCTTCCTGTCTTCTAGTTGTCACAACTGTTTTGGTGACCACCGATGTCCTGGATGCAGTGGTAGGCTCATCCACATCTGCTGAACCTGTTGACCCCATAGTTACTTTCTTCACTGTCACTTTAGGCCCAGCCGCACCACTTTCTTTGGCCTGAATAATCTCAATGATGAAAACAAGCAGCTGTTCAAGATTTATCTTCCCTTTTTTGTAATCTTCCATGAGCTCCTTCCTCTTGTCCTCATCAATCTCTCCACCATCTAAGATCTCCTGAAGTGACATCTTTTTCCCAGCAAACTTTCCGATTGGCAAATCAATGGTTGTTCTCTTCAAAGTGTCTAATGCATCTTCCTCAGGAGATGAACCAGCCTTACTGGTCGTCGTCACCACCGTCTTCTTGATGACAGTTTGAGTGGCACTCGAACTGGATTCACCATTATCTTCTGGAGTTTGCTTTTCCGCAGTGACTTTCTTCACAACCACTTTGTGCCCAGTCCCTCCAAGTTCTTTCTCCTGGATAATTTCAATGATTAAGACCAACAGCTGCTCCAGTGTGATCTTCCCAATCTTGTAATCGTCTATGAGTTCCTTCTTCTTTGCATCCTCAATTTCACCACCATCCAAAATCTCCTGGAGTGACATACTTTTATCAGAATACTTCCCAATTGGCAATTTCACCGTTGTTCTAGCCAGGCTCTCCAAAGCTTCTTGTTCTGGAGATAATCCTTCATGTCTTCTAGTTGTCACAACTGTTTTGGTGACCACTGATCTTGATGTAGAGGTAGGCTCATCCACATCTGCTGAATCAGACAGTTCTGATGTCACCTTTTTTACCACAATTTTAGGCTGTGCTGTGCCGCTCTCTTTGGCCTGAATAATCTCAATGATAAAAACAAGCAGCTGTTCCAGATTTATCTTCCCTTTTTTGTAATCTTCCATGAGCTCCTTCCTCTTGTCCTCATCAATCTCTCCACCATCTAAGATCTCCTGAAGTGACATCTTTTTCCCAGCAAACTTTCCGATTGGCAAATCTATGGTTGTTCTCTTAAGGGTCTCCAGTGCTTCTTCCGGAGATGAACCAGCCTTACTGGTCGTCGTCACCACCATCTTCTTCATGACAGTTTGAGTTGCACTTGAACTGGATTCACCATTATCTTCTGGAGAATGCTTTTCCGCAGTGACTTTCTTCACAACCACTTTGTGCCCAGTCCCTCCAAGTTCTTTTGCCTGGATAATTTCAATAATTAAGACCAACAGCTGCTCCAGTGTGATCTTCCCAATCTTGTAATCGTCTATGAGTTCCTTCTTCTTTGCATCCTCAATTTCACCACCATCCAAAATCTCCTGGAGTGACATACTTTTATCAGAATACTTCCCAATTGGCAATTTCACCGTTGTTCTAGATAGGCTCTCCAATGCTTCTTGTTCTGGAGATAGTCCTTCCTGTCTTCTAGTTGTCACAACTGTTTTGGTGACCACTGATCTTGATGTAGAGGTAGGCTCATCCACATCTGCTGAATCAGACAGTTCTGATGTCACCTTTTTTACCACGATTTTAGGCTGTGCTGTGCCACTTTCTTTGGCCTGAATAATCTCAATGATGAAAACAAGCAGCTGTTCCAGATTTATCTTCCCTTTTTTGTAATCTTCCATGAGCTCCTTCCTCTTGTCCTCATCAATCTCTCCACCATCTAAGATCTCCTGAAGTGACATCTTTTTCCCAGCAAACTTTCCGATTGGCAAATCTATGGTTGTTCTCTTAAGGGTCTCCAGTGCTTCTTCCGGAGATGAACCAGCCTTACTGGTTGTCGTCACCACCATCTTCTTCATGACAGTTTGAGTTGCACTTGAACTGGATTCACCATTATCTTCTGGAGTTTGCTTTTCCGCAGTGACTTTCTTCACAACCACTTTGTGCCCAGTCCCTCCAAGTTCTTTTTCCTGGATAATTTCAATGATTAAGACCAACAGCTGCTCCAGTGTGATCTTCCCAATCTTGTAATCGTCTATGAGTTCCTTCTTCTTTGCATCCTCAATTTCACCACCATCCAAAATCTCCTGGAGTGACATACTTTTATCAGAATACTTCCCAATTGGCAATTTCACTGTTGTTCTCGCCAGGCTCTCCAAAGCTTCTTGTTCTGGAGATAGTCCTTCCTGTCTTCTAGTTGTTGTCACAACTGTTTTGGTAACTAATGATGTCACGGATGAAGATGCTGGTTTGCCCGCTTCCTCAGGCAAACGTTTTAGTAAAACTTTTTCTCCTGCTTTACCACCTTCCTTGGCTTGGATGATCTCAATGATAAAAAAGAGAAGCTGTTCAAGGGTTATTTTTCCAGATGTGTAGTCATTCATGAGTTGTTTCTTCTTGTCATCTTCAATTACGTCACTCTCCAAAATCTCCTGGAGTGAGGGATTTTTCCCAGCAAATTTTCCAAAAGGCAAATCGATTGTTGTCTGCCTCAAGGGTTCCGTTGTTTCTGCTGATGCACCCTCCTTTCTTGTGGATGTTACAACTGTCTTAGTGACAAGTGGAGTGTGTTTTTGCACAGGTGTATCAATTTCGGTTACATCAAGGCCTTTTTTCTTCATCTCCTGTGTGCCTACCTCTTTAGCTTGCACATACTCAATCACAAAGAACAGCAACTGTTCTAGGGTTATTTTCCCAGAGCTATAATCTTCAGTCAATGCATTTTTCTTGTCGGCATCAATCAAGTCACTTTCAAAAATGTCTTTGAGTGATGCTTTTTTTCCAGCGAACATTCCAAATGGTAGTTCAACTGTTGTCTTCTCAAAGCTCATTGATAGATCTTGCTTTGGGGATTTCAGTCGAGAGGCAGGCTCAGTGGTCTTGGCCTTAATCTTTCCTGGCGTTGACTTCCTCTGCACAATTTCTATGATTAAAATATAAAGCTCTTGCAGGGTAATTTTGCCCAATTTGTAATCCTCTATCAATTGCTGCTTTTTGTCACTCTCTACCAAATCACTATCTAGCACGTCCAACAGGGAGGCATTCTTACCAGCAAATTGTTCAAACGGAAGTTCAACAGCCATGCTTTTTAAGTCTTCTAATACCCTTTGATCTGCAATTATAGTTACAGGTTTTTCATGCTCCACTTTTTGTGGAGTCGTTTTTTGCTGTAGAACTGGCTGCTGGGAAGCCTTCAGTGCTTTGTCTTGTACATCTTCAGCATTCTGAATTATTTCAATGATATACAGTATCAGTTGTTCCTTACTTATTTTACCCAATTTGTAGTCCTCCAAAAGTTTATGTTTCTTTTCATCTGCAATCAAGCCACTTAGGAAAATATCATCAAGTGAAGGATTTTTGCCAGCAAACCTTCCAAAATTAATATTAACTGTTGTCTTTACAAGTTTCGCTGGATTTTCGACATTTGGCAACAGGGATTCTGTGGGATGTTTTTCTTGAGCCGCGACGGTAACAGCTTCATTCCGAGCAGGACGTTTGTGTTTTGGCTTCTGCTGTTCACTTTCAGCTGTTGTAATGAATTCAATTATGTACAAAATTAGTTGATCTTTGCTAATCTTTCCCGACTTGTAATCTTCCAGCAACTTGTTTTTCTTTTCTTCTGCAATCAAGCCACTTTGGAAGAGCTCATCGAGGGATGGGTTTTTACCAGCAAATCTCCCGAGCTGGATGCTAACTGTCGTCTTTTTAAGGGCCTCCACGTCTTCATGCTTTTCAGCTTTGGGGACTGGTGCAGTCGCAAGTTTTTGAGCTTCATCTGTGGCCTTGGCAACTTCTTTCTGGGTGGGAACCTTCTTCTCTGCTTTCTTTCCTTTTTTCTCTTTTATTGGAAGAAGAGTGAGACCGGTGTCTGGGTCGATGATGCAACGCTGCATTTGTTCCATGTACGTCAGATTTTCTTCTGTGTTGGGATCAAAAAAGCCTTTGGTGTCATCGCTGGGGTCAGATAATATCTGGTTCATTTCCTCATCAAAGAGTCCTCTCTTGTACGCCGCTTCCACGGGAAGTCTATGGCTGGCCTGGGGGTCGATGATGCCTCCTGTGGCAATCTGGGCTTCAAGGAGTCGAATTCCGTGGGCTTTTAATATTAATTCTTTTTTCATCGCCTGAAACAAGGACAATGTCTCTTTGGAAAAGGGATCCTTGTATCCTGTCACTGCGCGCTCTGCAGATAGAAGTTTATCTTGGTACTCTTTACCCACGACTGCTTTCTGAACAGCTTCTTCAACGGACAATTTCTGATCTTTCACCGGATCTATGATGAAGCCACTGGCTGCTTGTGCTTCTAACAATACAAGCCCCGTTCCAAGTTTGATTAACTTTTTCTTCATGCCATCGTACAGAGACATCTTTTCTTTAGTTTTCTCAATGTATAAACCCGCAATGGCATTACTGCCACCAAGATACTTTCTGACTTGCTTTTGAACGTCGTCCTTTGTAATGAGACCATCTGCAAGCTGATTGGCAACATCTTCCTTGAGCACTCCTGATTTGACCAGATTATCGACTGTCACATCAGTGCGAATACCATGGAATGTGATGGCCTTCTTTGTCTTTTCTCTTTCGTTTAGACGAATTATTTCGATGATCAATAACATCAGCTGTTCAAGGGTAATTTTTCCAGTTTTATAGTCTATCATTAACTGTTTTTTCTTGTCTTCATCTACAAGGTCACTGTCAAAAATGTCCTGTAATGTGTATTTTTTTCCAGCAAACTTTCCAAATGGCAAATCAACAGTTGTTTTCTTCAACCGTTCAATGGCCTGCAGTTCTTCTGCCGGAACTTTTGTTGGCTTTAGAGGCACACCATCAGGTAGAACGCTCTGTACCGTTTCAGCTGCTTTTAGGACTGGCTCCTCACTTGCCTCTTCCGTTTTGTGCTGTTCACTCTCAGCGGTTGTAATGAATTCAATTATGTACAAAATGAGTTGGTCTTTGCTTATCCTGCCTGACTTGTAGTCCTCCAACAATTTGTTTCGCTTTTCTTCTGCAATCAAGCCGCTTTGGAAGAGCTCATTTAGTGATGGATTTTTTCCAGCAAATTTCCCGAGCTGGATGTTAACTGTCGTCTTCTTGAGGGCCTCCACATCTTCTTGTTTTTCAGCTTTGGGGACTGGTGCAGCCGCAAGTTTTTGAGCTTCATCTGTGGCCTTGGCAACTTCTTTCTGGGTGGGAACCTTCTTCTCTGCTTTCTTTCCTTTTTTCTCTTTTATTGGAAGAAGAGTGAGACCGGTGTCTGGGTCGATGATGCAACGCTGCATTTGTTCCATGTACGTCAGATTTTCTTCTGTGTTGGGATCAAAAAAGCCTTTGGTGTCATCGCTGGGGTCAGATAATATCTGGTTCATTTCCTCATCAAAGAGTCCTCTCTTGTACGCCGCTTCCACGGGAAGTCTATGGCTGGCCTGGGGGTCAATGATGCCTCCTGTGGCAATCTGGGCTTCAAGGAGTCGAATTCCGTGGGCTTTTAATATTAATTCTTTTTTCATTGCCTGAAACAAGGACAATGTCTCTTTGGAAAAGGGATCCTTGTATCCTGTCACTGCGCGCTCTGCAGATAGAAGTTTATCTTGGTACTCTTTACCCACAACTCCTTTCTGAACAGCTTCTTCAACGGACAATTTCTGATCTTTCACCGGATCTATGATGAAGCCACTAGCTGCTTGTGCTTCTAACAATACAAGCCCCGTTCCAAGTTTGATCAACTTTTTCTTTAAGCCATCGTACAGAGACATCTTTTCTTTAGTTTTCTCAATGTATAAACCCGCAATGGCATTACTGCCACCAAGATACTTTCTGACTTGCTTTTGAACGTCGTCCTTTGTAATGAGACCATCTGCAAGCTGATTGGCAACATCTTCCTTGAGCACTCCTGATTTGACCAGATTATCGACTGTCACATCAGTGCGAATACCATGGAATGTGATGGCCTTCTTTGTCTTTTCTCTTTCGTTTAGACGAATTATTTCGATGATCAATAACATCAGCTGTTCAAGGGTAATTTTTCCAGTTTTATAGTCTATCATCAACTGTTTTTTCTTGTCTTCATCTACAAGGTCACTGTCAAAAATGTCCTGTAATGTGTATTTTTTTCCAGCAAACTTTCCAAATGGCAAATCAACAGTTGTTTTATTCAACCGTTCAATGGCCTGCAGTTCTTCTGCCGGAACTTTTGTTGGCTTTAGAGGCACACCATCAGGTAGAACGCTCTGTACCGTTTCAGCTGCTTTTAGGACTGGCTCCTCACTTGCCTCTTCCGTTTTGTGCTGTTCACTCTCAGCTGTTGTAATGAATTCAATTATGTACAAAATGAGTTGGTCTTTGCTTATCCTGCCCGATTTGTAATCATCCAGCAACTTGTTTTTCTTTTCTTCTGCAATCAAGCCACTTTGGAAGAGCTCATCGAGGGATGGGTTTTTACCAGCAAATCTCCCGAGCTGGATGCTAACTGTCGTCTTTTTAAGGGCCTCCACGTTTTCTTGCTTTTCAGCTTTGGGGACTGGTGCAGCTGCAAGTTTTTGGGCTTCATCTGTGGCCTTGGCAACATCCTTCTTCTTTTCTTTCTGTTGAATTATATCAATAATCAAGACAATCAGTTGTTCTTTGGGTATTTTGCCGGCTTTGAAGTCCATCAATAACCATTCTTTGTTCTTTTTGTCTATGAGGTCGCTGTCAAAAATGTCTTGCAATGTATATTTTTTACCAGCAAATTTCCCAAATGGCAAGTCAACGTTTGTTTTCCTCAAGGTTTCAACTGCTTGCTGATCTGATAACAAAGCTCCTTCAGGGACCTGTGTTGGCTTTAGTGGTTCGCTATCAGGTAGATCACTCTCCACCTTTTCTGCTGCTTTTAGAACTGGCTCATCAATTGATTTCTGCTGTTCACTTTCAGTAATGAATTCAATTAGGTACAGAATGAGTTGGTCTTTGCTTATCCTGCCTGACTTGTAGTCCTCCAACAATTTGTTTCGCTTTTCTTCTGCAATCAAGCCACTTTGGAAGAGCTCATTTAGTGATGGATTTTTTCCAGCAAATCTCCCGAGCTGGATGTTAACTGTCGTCTTCTTGAGGGCCTCCACATCTTCTTGTTTTTCAGCTTTGGGGACTGGTGCAGCCGCAAGTTTTTTAGCTTCATCTGTGGCCTTGGCAACTTCTTTCTGGGTGGGAACCTTCTTCTCTGCTTTCTTTCCTTTTTTCTCTTTTATTGGAAGAAGAGTGAGACCGGTGACTGGGTCGATGATGCAACGCTGCATTTGTTCCATGTACGTCAGATTTTCTTCTGTGTTGGGATCAAAAAAGCCTTTGGTGTCATCGCTGGGGTCAGATAATATCTGGTTCATTTCCTCATCAAAGAGTCCTCTCTTGTACGCCGCTTCCACGGGAAGTCTATGGCTGGCCTGGGGGTCGATGATGCCTCCTGTAGCAATCTGAGCTTCAAGGAGTCGAATTCCATGTTGTTTTAAAATCTGTTTATTTTGCATGGCCTGAAACACAGAAAATGTTGCACCAGAGAATTTATCCTTGTATCCTGTCACTGCACGCTCTGCAGAAAGAAGCTTGTCTTTGTATTCTGGACCCACGACTCCTTTCTGAACAGCTTCTTCAACAGACAATTTCTCATTCTTCACTGGATCTATGATAAATCCACTAGCTGCTTGTGCTTCTAACAATACAAGCCCCGTTCCAGTTTTTATCAAATTTCTCTTGAAGCCATCATACAAAGAAATGGTTTCCTTTGTTCCCTCAATATACAGACCTGCAATTGCACTACTACCCCCGAGATAACCTCCAACTTGCTTTTGAACTTCATCCTGTGTAATAAGACCATCTGCAAGCTGATTGGCAACGTCTTCTTTCAGCAAACCAGATCTGACCAGCTCATCGACTGTCACATCAGTGCGAATACCATGGAATGTGATGGACTTCTTTGTCTTTTCCCTTTCTTTCAGACGAATTATTTCAATGATAAATATCATTAGCTCCTCCAGTGAAATTTTTCCAGACTTGTAGTCTCTCATCAGCTGGTCCTTCTTGTGCTTATCAATGAGGTCCCCGTCAAATATCTCTTGCAATGTGTACTTTTTGCCAGCTAAACTTCCAAATGGTAAGTCCAAAGTTGTCTTTTTTAGATTTTCCACGGCCAGTTCTTCAGAGGAAATGTGCGGACCCTCCTTTTGCGGAACCCCAACCGCTGGTGTAGGTACATCTGGCCTCAGCTCAGTTTGTGGGATGGTTTTGTCCGTTTCTTTTTCTGGCTTTCGTTGACTCGCCTCAGCTTGCTGAATTATTTGCACAATGTACATTATTAATTGCTCCATGGTGATATTGCCAAGCTTGTAGTCCTCTAACAGTTGCTTTTTCTGTCCTTCATTGACCAATCCACTTTTGAATATGTCTTCAATGGATGGCTTCTTCCCAGCAAATCTTCCGAAGTGAATGTCAATTGTGGTTTTAAGACTCTCAGCTATCTGTTGCTCTGCAGGCTCTGGAATTGGAGCCGATTCATATTTTTGTGGTTTTCTCTTGAATTGTATTATCTCAATGATGTAAATAATTAGTTGTTCGAATGTAATCTTTCCTAACTTATAGTCCTCGACCAATTTCTTCTTGTTGTCTTCATCAATCATACCACTTTGGAAGATTTCTGCAACTGATAACTTTTTGTCACCGTGTCCTCCGAAAGGAAGTTCAACTGTTGCTTTCTGGAAGTTTTCTGAAAGCTGCTTTTCCGATATAACTGCATGTTCTAATTTCTTAGCAGGAACAGGTGCAACGGCATCTTCAACTTTCTCCTTGACTGCCTCTTCTCTAGCCTTCTGGTCTTCTCGTCTTTTAATGAACATTATAATGAGCTGAATCCACTCTTGAATCGTGATCTTACCCGATGTGAAATCTTTCATTAATCTGTCTTTGTCTTCATCTGAGATCAGGTCACTTGCAAATATCTCTTCCAAAGTCATTTTCTTTACAGGTGAGCCTTTTATTGTTATATCCACATTGGTTGTCTTTAGTGTTTCTTTAATGTTTTCATGTGTGGCTGTCTGGAGCTGCTGGGTCCCCTGTACAACTGCTTCGAGGGTGGCCTTGTCTCCAACATCTTTGACTTTATGGACTTTGAGTGGAAGCAGACATAGGCCTGTGTCTGGATCTGTTATGCAAGTTTTCATGAGCTGCAAGTACGTAAGATTTTTGCTCGTGTTTGGATCAAAGAATCCCTTCGTGTCATCACTCGGATCCAATAAAGTGGCGTGCAATTTTTTATCAAAGAGGCCCCTTTTGTAGGCGACCTCAATAGGAAGTCTGTGGCTGTTCTGGGGATCAATTATTCCTCCCGTGGCAATTTGAGCTTCAAGAATACGGATTCCATGTTGCTTCAAGATAATTTCCTTCTCCATCGCTTCAAATAACGAGATGGTTTTTTTCGTGATCGGGTCCGTGTAACCTGTGACTGCGCGCTCTGCCAACTTTAGTTTCTCTTGATATTCTGGACTCACAAGACCCTTCTGGACAGCTTCATCTACAGACAGCTTCGTATTGTTGAGTGGATCAATCATAGAACCCGTCGCTGCTTGAGCCTCCAGCAATACCATTCCTGTCCCCAAAGTGAGCAGGTTCTTCTTTATTGCCGCATCTATTGGCATTTTTTCTTTTGTGGCTTCGACATAGAGTCCTGCGATGCTTCTTCCACCCCCTAGATATCTTTCAATGGACGGTGAAACATCAGTCACTGACTTTGTCCCTTCTATGAGCTGCCCGGCTGTGTTTTCGTCGATGATTTCAGATTCTACGAGCTCTTCAAGTGTAACTTCCTGGCGAAGGCCACTGAATGTAATCTCTTTTTTCTTACGCTGCTTCTCCTTTTGTTGCAGGAACTGAAGGATGTAGATGTAATACTCATCCATTGTTCTTTTCCCAGACTGGAAGTCAACCAGGAACATTTTCTTCTCTTCATCGGTGAAGTAATTTGAGTGTAGGAGTTCCCATATGGTCCAGTGGCGGCCTTTGAAAGTCTGTGGAACTTTTGCATTTTTCAATGTCTCTTCAAGTTTCTCCTCTTGACTCTGACTGTTCAGCTGTGCTGTAGCCTGAAAAGCAAAACCAAATTTTTTTTTTTGTTTATTTGTATCACACTGGCATCTGATATGGACTTTATTGTAAAAATAAATATCTGGCGCAATGATGCATCGAATCATCCTAAGCTGATGATAAACACATCAAATGGTGCTGTGCAAGAATCCACGCTTTTTCAATGTGCATGTCGTACATAGTGGTTCATGTGATCCCTGCAGCCCACCATAAAGGCTGCTTGCATTCACCACAATGTTAAAAAATAACCAATTGTTTAATCGAAAAGCAACAGTTCATCGCATAGCCATGGCAGGAGGGTGGTGAAGAGTTATGCCTGCATAATTAGTTTTATTTGGCAAGTAATTTTTTACATCTGTCCTGACTTGCTAAACAAAGGCATGAATTTTATATAGTTATGACACTTCAATGACAAGTAATTTGGAATGTCGCATGACATTTATTTTTCACACTTGCATGATGTCGGTGTCGGGTGTAAAAAATATCAGACTTGACCAGTGGCGCTAAGTGACGTACTGAGGATTTATTTACTAAGGCCTCAATGAGTGTCTTAAGATTCCTATGCATATTAATGTTCCTGTTTTTATAAGTTGTTATAATCACACACAATCACACATGCAGAGTGAGTGCGACGGCCGCACCTGTTCAGCGTCTTGAATGCGCTTGAGGTCTTCGCTCAGGGAGCCCACTTGCTGCTTGGCATGGCCCAGTATTGTGCTGTATCTGCCCACCAGGTCTGACGTCTGAGATTGAAGATAAATGACATCAGGACACTCATGAAAGAAGTGCGCAAACAAACTGTCGGTGTGTACAACCCCTCAATAATTTTTTTAAAAGCAGTTTTATTAATGAGACCCACAGATAAAACACAGCAGAACGTTGAATGATAGACAAGGCCAAAAACTTTAAACTGGCAAAAGGGTCCCATAGATATCGCTGCTTAACCCATGCTATCAATGTTTTGGTCTTTGCCTTGTCCTTGTACTGGTCGCCTTTTTGTGGGCTTTGGTCCAGCCCTGGTGAGACAAAGCTATGAAAGCGGCTGTCTCTGGTGTTGGCCAATCAATATCAAGGACAGTGGAAATATTATCAAAGCGAATTTGTTTGCATTTTTGTACCACAAGTACATGTGGTGAATGCAGATTTAATGCCTTGTGTGTATTTGGTGTTTGAACACCTTAACACTATAGGACCTTATTGGCAGTTTAAAAGTGATTAAAATATAAGATTAGGCTTTTCCCTTTCTGGAAATAAAAGGGTTGTGTTAAGATGTTCAAACACCAAATAGAAACCTTTCACACGGCATCATGTCTGCATTAGCCACACGAACTTGTGGAAAAACATGAAAAAATACATCTTGTGATGATATACATGATCTTTGAAACCAATTGGCCTACACCAGAAACAACCTTCTTTTATGTCCTTGTATCACCAGTGTTAGACTTGAGGCAAAAACATGCAAACAAACATGATCTGCATCATTAGGCCTCCTTTGCCAGTACCACAATAAAATATTATTATATTTTGGTACTGGCAAAGGAGGTCTAATGATGTAGATGCTCACCCCGAGCACTCATTACTTTGATAGTGCAGCATTGTCTTTGAGCTGTACGCCTTTTGGCGTCCTCTGGTCGAGCACCAATTGGGTCGAGGCTCAAAAGAAAGCCGTCCCTTGGTGTGTCTCTCTCTATGTATCTCTGTGATATCTGTCTCTACGTATATGTCTGTCTATATGTCTCTGGTTCTGTGTTTTATCTCTCTCTCAAATTTAGCATTCTCAGGAAGAACGTAATCAACCAGGTAGGGTGTTGACTGTTGTGTTATCCGACTCTCTGTTGTATTACATTACATTTCTAAGTATACTAGATTTGTGTTTCTATTTCTATTATACCTGATGATGATTGCTTGTGTTGCAATCGAAACGTCGTATGCTAGTATTTAATTTATTATTTTATCTTTATACGTGACTTTACCAAAAGAACCAAGGATGTATTCCTGCAGTCACGAAAGCTCCAAATTAAGTGTGGACCAATCAGTTTCAAGGACAATGCATATATTGTCATAGTGGGTTTTTTTGCATTTTGACTGCAAGTATTGTGGTTAATGCAGACATGAATCCTTGTAAAAAGGTTTCAGTTTTGTTGCCAGAAAAAGGGGAAAAACCCGATTATTATTATTATTAAACATGATCTGCTCTATGACATGCTTAAGCGCTAACAATTCCCCATGCTGATTATGGACCCTTTGGAAATGCCTGAAGAGCGAGCGAATGCTGTTGTATTTGTAATTTGTCAGCACGAATGCTCCGGCATGACGTCGTACCTCTTTGTTCAAATCGTCGGCCACGTTTGAGCCGGCCGGCCACTGCGCCGGTGTCTTCAGCTGCTTCTCGATGGAAGTCCGATACGCCGACACTCTCGTGTCGTATGTCTGTAGAAAGACAAAAACGTGCAAGCGTCAAACAACGTGCAGTCTTTCATCCAACCATATCGGCAGGGGACCAGGGCGGTGACATGCGAGGTGCCAAAGTTGTTGCGCAGCCAATATATTTAAATGGGGCGAATTCTCAAGCGGGTTACGTGAATTATGCGACAAACCATTCAACTTGAGACTCAGCTGGCCGGGGAGGGAGCTCCTGGCCTGCCAAGTTTGAGCACATAGGTTCGAACCTGACCTTCATGTGATCTGTACGGGTGGCTCAGCAGCACCAGCAGAGCGAACGGCTCACATTCGGAAGGTCGCGAGTTGAAATTCTGGTTTGGGGGTTCGACTCGGCCCATAATGCTTCCCTCCGGGGTAGATACAAATAATAATTTTAAATCGTACGGATTAGACTCACCCCTTCCCTAGCACAGTGGGATTTCTACCACTGGCTCACGGCGGTAAAAGGGGGGAAGAGTTAGCCACCTGAAACCACACGAAAATTCAAACGGGAAAAGCTGCAGTGGAATCTGGAATCTGCGGATAACCACGAGAAGCCCTCGAAGAGTCATACCTGCACGTGGGATGCACATTCTTCTGCACTCTTCCTGCACTCATTCACCTTCTTTTGCGCTTTCTCCAGCTCGTCAACCAGCGCCTGCAGCACAAGCAGGCGTTACGGCACCGCCAACACAGCACCGCGCATTCCCAAACTTGCGACGTCCTGCAAATGCCGCCACTGCCGACGGCCTCGGGATGTGGTTGTCGTTGTAAAATTTATTGATTAGCTCACAAGGGGCCTGGCCTGCTGAAGGTAAGAGTCTGTGTGTCTGTCTGTGGAGAGGTGCACGTGTCCAATGCGTGTATTCACAGGAGTTTATTCTGAGATAGTTAAACTTGCAATCTATTTCACAAAACATATGAAGCACATACGAATAAACAACAACAGTAAAACAAATTCTGACCACTGATGATCAATGATGTCCGTTATGTGTTTAATGATTTTCCACTCTCAGAGATTTGATTACCTGTCATAATTTTGAATGATTCAATTAATTGATTAATCATGGGAAAAAATGTTTTGCAAGAGGTCAAACTATACTAAAACATGTTATTTACCAGGTAAAGCTCACCGAGCTATGAGCGAATTTTTTTAGAGGCGACCTGGCCACACATGATAGCTGATTGAAGTGGTTTATCAACACATGTGGGCACTTACAATAGCAGCCAAATAATCTAAATGCGAAGAAAGATTCACACGTCTTCACGTGGACACCAAATATACAACGGGAATCGTCAGAGTCGGGATCGAACCCACGACCTCCTGCGCACCATGCGAGGGGACGTAACGTCCCCTCGCCACTGCGGCGCCCAAAAAACTGACCTTTTGTTGTTCCAGCAGCAGAGTGACGCTCTGAGAGTCTGGTTTATCTGCAGCGAGAAGGCCCTTCTGCTTCTCACCACTCCGCTCCAGCAGCTGCACGAGCCAAAGATGGATCTCATGGAACTTAGCCGTTTTCTTGGACAGTGCCTCCAGGTCACCCAGCCTAGACGGTTGGACCAGGCAGAATAAACATCGTAAGCGTCCCCATCATCACCATCATCATCATCATTATTGTTCCTGCACCTCAAATTAGCACGGTTGGCCCCAGGTCGCCTAGCCTAGATGGTCGGACCACGCAGAATAAATACCACGAGTCTCCTCATCATTGTTCCCGCACTTCCGATTAGCACGGTTGCCTACGTACGGTGCGAAAGAAGTTCAACGTACATACATACATCATCACCCTCACTACCACCATCATCAGTACTACTATCATGATCATCGTCGTAACCGTCACATACACCGATTGCACAATAGGGCACACCTGTACACAAGAGGAAATTAGGGGTGCATCAAATACCAACTGAAATTCAAATGCTTACGAAACAGACGCAAATCAACGTCCGAAACGTCGTGATTTATTATTTTATTTCTATTATTACTTTTATTAATTTTTATTTAAATTTTTTACCTACGTGACTTTACCGAAAAAACCTAAGAGTATGAATCCTTGCAGTCACGAAAGCTTCAAATCTAAAATCAACGTCAGTTTAAACCATCTCTTCCCTCATCGCGCTGCATCATCTCGATTCGTTGTCGACATTTCTCCCATCTCAATCCATCTCCTGTCCAATTCTCTACCGAAAGCGAGCACCCCTCCCCCCCTCCCGACCCCACCTCCCCTTCCCCATCGGGCGAGCGCCAGCACCGAGGGACATCGTCGCGTTTTGCTTGTTGCCGCTGCCAGTCGCCCTCCGCTCACCTGGCGGCGAGCTCCGTCTGCAGCTGCTTGGCCCGGCCTCGGAGCCGAGCGTCGTGCTCCCTGTAGGAGGCGAGGTCGGGGTCCGCGTGGCCCCCTGCGGCCTGCGCCAGGGGGCCGTCCGCACCCTCGGCTCGCTGCAGCGCTGCCCCGGCTGCGTCCATCGCGGTCCCCAGCGGCTCCGCCGCGTCTGCGGCAAGGGCCTGCGGAGAGAAGAGCCGCACGCGGCGGAGATGAGAGATCGTACTCGGGAGGTGATAGCAGCGGTGGAGGTGGTGGTGGGGAGCGGTGGTGTAGCGGTTAGCGTGGTGCGCTACGAGCTTGGCAGACCCAGGTTCGATCACCGGTCACGGCCAACACCGGTGACGATTATCCGAACCGGTCCTGGGCTTCTCAAATGAGTACCTGGTGCGGTGTGTAAGCGTCGCCACTCGGAGACAAAGGCGGCTGGGCATTGTGCTGGCCACTCACCCCTCTCGTGTGCTGTGCCGACCTTCATAGATGCTTCCTAACAGCACTTGCCCCTACAGTCTGTTAAGGCTACACGGGGGATCTTTGTATTTATTTGGAGGTGGTGGTGGAGGCGGTGGCACTAGAGGGGAGGGTTTGCTGCGGTGCCCGTTCAAAAAGCATGGCGAACGATGACAAAAGTGAACAGCAAGTGAAAATGTTTGGCGTAGGGGTTTGGCATAAAAATGGCGGTCGGGATAGTGCTCTGGGACTGGTCAGTTGATTGTGGTTAGGGCTAAAGTTAGGGTTTGGTTGGCTAGTGTGGTCTGGGCTAGAGGCAGGGATAGGGTCTTGCTGGCTCGCGTGCTGAGTGTAAGGGCTAGAGAACGGGTGGTTAGTGTGGATAGATCTCGTGGTAGGACAAGCATTTATTTGGCAAGCATGTTGAAATGCTAAGGTTATGGTTTTGCTGGCAAGTGAGCTGAGTACTATGGCTAGTGGTGGGGGGTCTGGTTTGCTGGTGTGGCTGGGGTTAGCGGTAGGGCGAGTGCTTCGTTCGCTTGTGTATTCCACCCCTAACAATTTGCACCTCCTCCCTATTGCCAGGCACGTGACCTTTTAACTTCGTATTTTTCATGATGTGATGGCATGATGTAACATTTTACGACGATTATCGCGATATCAGTTTCCCATAACTTTGTGATTTTATGCCACATTGACATTGTATTAGTTTGAAGCTCTGCGTAATTTCAGAACAATTTTACAATTTTTTAAATTTTATTCGTCATTGGTAACCGGGCTGCGACCACCAACTCGCTAACACTTGATTAGCTGCTTTAATCACAAGCGCCCGCTTGGATTCGAACCCAAGGTCCCTCAGCGGCGCAAGCTTTAGTACTCCGACCTCTGAGCCACCCGGACCATCTCGTTCGTTTGTGAAAGGGAACGCGTGAACGTGATGGGAGGACCTTGAGGTTCTTGACGGAGGCGTTGAGGGCGTCGGGGTCCGTCACAGCCCCGGGCTCCTGGGCCAGTTTCACCTCCAGGGCTCCGAGGCAGCGCTCGGAGTCCCGGCTGGAGCTCACCACCTCTCCCATGGCGCGCAACCTGGTGTCAGAGACGGCGCGTGAATCATAATTAGAATCTTTATTTATACCGGAGTCGGAGGAGGAATCCGATGAGCTGAGAAGCTTTTTTTTTTCACAGATGTCCAGTAGGGGCGGCTCAGGGTCACATCAACAAACAATACAAAAAAAACTTTATGAGAGCAAGATTTTAAAAAAATTTCAGGAAAAGTCGCTATAAATAAAAAAAGTACAGAAGTACTAATTGCACAAGTACATTCATTCCGGCTGATTTGTCAACACCAAATGCAAGGCAGAAAAACAACAACAACAGTCCCAGACCACACCAGGACAACACACGCTCACTCGATTACATCGCACATTGAAATTGGTGCTGGCTCACCTGCCGGGCTGCCGCCTTCCCGCTTTGTCTGTGGGTCCCAGTAACTAGCAACTAATTGGCACGTTTTGTGTACGCTTACTAATTGGCTGTGTCAGCGGGTTTAACGACACATTAATATTAACGCGATCTAACCCCCCCCAAAAAAACCCACTCTAATACGGATAACGTCGGCTGCGAAACCCTTACTGCGCGTTGCAAACCGGCCAACCTCTCCCCGTGGAGGATACCTCTCTTAGAACCCCTCGTTTTACCGTTGGACGAGCAGCAGCAGCAGGGTGTAGGTGCGCTCCCTCTGCTGGGTGGCGAGCGGCAGCTCGGAGCGCAGGGCGCCGCTGCTGGGTGGCGCGGGGCTCAGCGCCAGCAGCGCGGCCCCCTCGTGCTCCAGCTGCTCCAGCTCCCCGGCCAGCGCCTCCAGCTCCTTCTGCAGATCCTGCACACAAAGGCCAAGATCCCCGTCACCCACCACGTGTAGCCTTCAACAGACTGCTGGGACGAGCGCTGTTAGCGAATTGCACCTATAAGGGGGACAGCACGGAACATCTATGCCCCCCGCCCCCCCTCTTAGGAAACATGAAGGGGGTGGGTGGCTAGCAACACACCCGGCCATCGTTGTCTACCTAAGTAGTGCAAATTTGAGGCCGAGTCGACCTAGGGGATGCCCAGGACCGGTTCAGATATTCGTCATCGGTGTTGGCCATGAGCGGGAATGGAACTCGGTGTCACCGGGTTCATAGAGCAACGTTTTAACCGCTGCGCCACCGCCCCGGGTTTTTTTCATCACTCCTCCGGGGACGATAGAATGAGTACCACTTTGTGGGAGAGAAAGCCGTGGTTGTCCCGTGGAGAGACTCACCTCTACCAAAGGAATGTGGGGGGGGGGGGGCTTTGGTCACAGTGAAGGTCGTAAAGGGGAGTCAAGCTGGATGGAAGATAGATTTTTATTCGAAGAGAGAGCTAGGGTGAGCGAGCGGGCGAGCGTGCGCGAGTGATCGTGTTCCGCAGGGCGGACGAGCGCGCCGGCGGTGGCACCTCGGGAGAGAGAGCTTGGGCGAGTGAGCGAGTGAGAGAGCAACAGGAGCGAGTGATCGAGCGTGCGCGAGTGATCGCGTTCCGCAGGGCGGGCGAGCGCGCCGGCGGGGGCACCTCGTGCTGTGCGACGCGAGCGACGCTGTGCTGCTCGTGGTCTCCCTGCAGGCCTCCCTGGCACCCGGCCGCCACGCGCTCCTCCTTCTCTCCCAGCCGCCCGCGGAGGTCTCTCAGCGCCGCCACGCAGCGAGCGCACGCTGCCTCGCTCTGCTCCTCTGCTCCGGGGCACGCGCGTGGTGGGGGGGGGGGGGGGGTGAGAGCAACGACGTCGGGTCAATGTTGGGGAGGCAGCACCGCAAGACGACGGTTGTCAGAGGTCAGAACCAGCGTTCGTTTCGTTAACTCAATGCGCGTAAGTTTTCGCGGCCAATGCTACGATTCATACTTGATTTTGGGGGTTAGGCCATGATAATAATGATCTCACCGCTGTGCATGCCGGCCTTCAGCTGTGCCACTAGAGGATGCTCACCGCTGTGCATGCTGGCCTCAAGCTGCGCCACTAGAAGATGCTCACCGCTGTGCATGCCGGCCTTTAGCTGTGCCACTAGAAGATGCTCACCGCTGTGCATGCCGACCTTTAGCTGTGCCACTAGAAGATGCTCACCGCTGTGCATGCCGGCCTTTAACTGTGCCACTAGAAGATGCTCGCCGCTGTGCATGCCGACCTTTAGCTGTACCACTAGAAGATGCTCACCGCTGTGCATGCCGACCTTTAGCTGTGCCACTAGAAGATGCTCACCGCTGTGCATGCCGGCCTTTAACTGTGCCACTAGAAGATGCTCACCGCTGTGCATGCCGACCTTTAGCTGTACCACTAGAAGATGCTCACCGCTGTGCATGCCGACCTTTAGCTGTGCCACTAGAAGATGCTCACCGCTGTGCATGCCGACCTTTAGCTGTACCACTAGAAGATGCTCACCGCTGTGCATGCCGACCTTTAGCTGTGCCACTAGAAGATGCTCACCGCTGTGCATGCCGACCTTTAGCTGTACCACTAGAAGATGCTCACCGCTGTGCATGCCGACCTTTAGCTGTGCCACTAGAAGATGCTCACTGCTGTGCATGCTGGCCTCAAGCTGTGCCACTAGAAGATGCTCACCGCTGTGCATGCTGGCCTCAAGCTGCGCCACTAGAAGATGCTCACCGCTGTGCATGCTGGCCTCCAGCTGTGCCACTAGAAGATGCTCACCGCTGTGCATGCTGGCCTCAAGCTGCGCCACTAGAAGATGCTCACCGCTGTGCATGCCGGCCTCAAGCTGCGCCACTAGAAGATGCTCACCGCTGTGCATGCTGGCCTCAAGCTGCGCCACTAGAAGATGCTCACCGCTGTGCATGCTGGCCTCAAGCTGTGCCACTAGAAGATGCTCACCGCTGTGCATGCTCGCCTCAAGCTGTGCCACTAGAAGATGCTCACCGCTGTGCATGCTGGCCTCAAGCTGCGCCACTAGAAGATGCTCACCGCTGTGCATGCTCGCCTCCAGCTGTGCCACTAGAAGATGCTCACCGCTGTGCATGCTCGCCTCAAGCTGTGCCACTAGAAGATGCTCACCGCTGTGCATGCTGGCCTCAAGCTGCACCACTAGAAGATGCTCACCGCTGTGCATGCTGGCCTCCAGCTGTGCCACTAGAAGATGCTCACCGCTGTGCATGCTGGCCTCAAGCTGCGCCACTAGAAGATGCTCACCGCTGTGCATGCCGACCTTTAGCTGTGCCACTAGAAGATGCTCACCGCTGTGCATGCTGGCCTCAAGCTGTGCCACTAGAAGATGCTCGCCGCTGTGCATGCCGACCTTTAGCTGCGCCACTAGAAGATGCTCACCGCTGTGCATGCCGACCTTTAGCTGCGCCACTAGAAGATGCTCACCGCTGTGCATGCCGACCTTTAGCTGTGCCACTAGAAGATGCTCGCCGCTGTGCATGCCGACCTTTAGCTGCGCCACTAGAAGATGCTCGCCGCTGTGCATGCCGACCTTTAGCTGCGCCACTAGAAGATGCTCACCGCTGTGCATGCCGACCTTTAGCTGCGCCACTAGAAGATGCTCACCGCTGTGCATGCCGACCTTTAGCTGTGCCACTAGAAGATGCTCGCCGCTGTGCATGCCGACCTTTAGCTGCGCCACTAGAAGATGCTCGCCGCTGTGCATGCCGACCTTTAGCTGTGCCACTAGAAGATGCTCGCCGCTGTGCATGCTGGCCTCTAGCTGCGCCACTAGAAGATGCTCACTGCTGTGCATGCTGGCCTCAAGCTGCGCCACTAGAAGATGCTCACTGCTGTGCATGCTGGCCTCTAGCTGTGCCACTAGAAGATGCTCACCGCTGTGCATGCTGGCCTCAAGCTGCGCCACTAGAAGATGCTCGCCGCTGTGCATGCCGGCCTCCAGCTGCGCCACTAGAAGATGCTCACCGCTGTGCATGCTGGCCTCAAGCTGTGCCACTAGAAGATGCTCACCGCTGTGCATGCTGGCCTCAAGCTGCGCCACTAGAAGATGCTCACCGCTGTGCATGCTGGCCTCAAGCTGCGCCACTAGAAGATGCTCACCGCTGTGCATGCTGGCCTCTAGCTGCGCCACTAGAAGATGCTCACCGCTGTGCATGCTGGCCTCAAGCTGCGCCACTAGAAGATGCTCACCGCTGTGCATGCTGGCCTCAAGCTGCGCCACGTGCTGCTTGCAGGTAGACACCTCCGCCTCGGCCTGCGCCGTCTCGGCATCGCCAGGCGCCTGCGAGGTGGTGCGCTCCTCCAGGAAGGCCTGCCGACGGCGCTCCAGCTCCTTCAGCGCCTCCTCCTTCTGTCCCAGTGCCAGCTTCTTCAGCTGCAAAGACAAAGATCCCCCCGTCCGACCGTATAGCCTCAACAGACTGTTGGAGCAAGTGCTGTCGGCGAGCACCTACGAAAACCGGCACGGCACACGAAGGGGGTGGGTGTTGGCCAGCACCACGCCCGGCCGCCTTTGTCTTCCTAAGTGCCGCCCCAGGTACTCATTTGAGGCCGAGCCGACCTAGTGGAGGCCCATTACTGGTTCAGATAATCGTCACTGGTGTTGGTGGCTACGAGCGGAAATCATGGACCATGCCGGCCAACACAGGTGCTGCTCGGCACTGCAATGTCAACGGATTATACCTTTGTACAAGTCAGTGGTAGGGGGGCCCAATGCCCTGCCATGGTACTAGAGGCAGTATCTCATAGACCCTGTGTACAAGCCAAGGCCAGGTTGTAGCATCATTAATATCCTGATAAATGACCTTTGCCTGTGTTTGCAACTCATCTCCTGTTTACAATCCTGAGCAAGTGGTGGAAATTTCACATTCCTCTTGTGCGGATGAGTCAGATCATAAGGTAACAGTAGAACATTGGTAATCGTATCTGGTGTGGCCTTGGCAAACTCCACCACAGTTTTTATACGAGTGCTTGTCATAAGTCGCAAGAGACCAGCACTAATTAGCGTGCCTGTCCACCACGCACAATGTATTTTGCCCTAATCTTCCACGCCCGCCCGACATCTTGGAAGAGGTCCGATTTCCCACACTTTGACCCCACCACAATCAAACTGCCAATCGACTGTGGTGTATGTTGACAGGTGGAAATCCTTCACACTCATGTTCACTTTGAATGTACCTTGAATGCACATGCCTCTTTAGTCTCTCAAGTATAATTTTAGGAAAGTAGCCCATTGCTTCAACTTCCGTGCCGGCCGGTGAGATTCAACTATTTAAACGTTTTATTTTTTATTCTACTAGGTAAGGACCACTGAACCATATGACTCTTTTTCAGAAGCGACCTGGCCACATATGATAGCACAACGAAGTGGCTTATCAAGTGGAAATTCATAGCAGCCAAATACTCTAAACGCACATTTCTAAATGTGGAGGAAAAACCCGAAGGACCCGGAGAGAAATCCACGTGACCACGGGGAGAACACGCAAACTCCAAATATACAGCAGGCGTCAGGGTCGGGATCGAACCCACGACCTCCTGCATACCAAGCGACATAATTAACATCCCGCCACCGTGCCACCCCCCCCCCCCCAATTCCAGTGGATTTGCAGCCCAATGTGCCCTGACCATTACACCAAGCGCGGCACACGTAACCACTGGCTCGTGCACAGTGTCATTTATTTGCCGGTAAAGGTCTCACCGTGGGGAGGTCCCAAGCACGGATGATCTTGGTGTACTGCAGCAGGTGGTGCCAGGCCAATAAGCTGCGCAGATCTGCCGTCTTGCCGTTCCAGGCTGCGAGAAGATCCTTGTGCTGCTGTCTTAGTCTGTGCCGGGGGAATAAAAACAATAAATAATATTTATAAAAAAAAAAAATTAAACACGCTTTAATGAAATGTACCGTACTAGTAATGGAAGAACTCCACGACTCCAGGAAGTGGCCCCGAAGCTTGCCATAACGTAAGGGACCGTGGTTAATTACAGCCAATGTCAGTTTACCGTGGACAATTAGACCCAAGGCGAAACATAACATATAAAAAAGATCGTTTAAAAATATTTTCATTTATTTATTATGATAGAATATAGTATTGTCATCAGAATGACATAAGTATACCAAGTTTGCAGTCGATACCACATTGGGAAGTGGGTTAAAATTTAGTTACAAGATTTGAGGATACAACAACGACAACAGACACTTTTAACACCGTGCACGGTAAGGGTATTGCTACGGGAGTTCTTTGCTCAGTGGGGTTGGCTCGCCAACTGGGGTGGTGTTGAAACTCGCTGGCGATGAACCAAATGGAAACTGTTGCAAGTACTCAATCACGCAGCTGCCCGTTGCATTGTAAAATGGAAAAACACAGGATAGCGACAATGCGGTTTAGTTTCTTTAGAGATTCAATGTGTTTCTGTCGACTCACTGATATCTGTCCCAGTTTATTCCACGCAATTTTCTAATCGATGGACCTCTCAGTGACCAAGTCACAAGATTATTTTAAGGTTGTGTAACCTAATTACTCTGTGCAAAGGACATTCCAAAAAGCTGTCTTTGCAATAAAATAAATATCGTCAATGCCAATAAACTATTACAAGGAACAATTGAAACACGTTTTAAACAAATCCTGCAATTAAAATGTTTGACCTTTAAAATTGAAAGCCTTTTTCTGAATTCTAAAATGTAAACATTCCCACGTTAATACTGACTGATAGTTACCGACTGACTGCACAGTATTTTTTATGCTTTCCAAATAAATTTTGTGCATCAGCTCTCCCTGTCCATCTGTAACAAGGGGGGGGGGGGGGGGTGGGAAAGCACTCTAACTCTCATAGAGATGTTCCAATATGAACGCAACTCTAGTATAACGCTGGGTTACCATTACGGACTCACCCTAACGAAAACTGGTGAACTTCATCAAAGGGTTGCCCAAAACATTGGAGACACAAACCAGAGGGAAAAAAAAACTTCTTGCAAATACGCAAACACATTTTACCTCAACATTTATTTACCCGACGTTTCGACTGCAACACAAGCAATCATCATCAGGTGTGAAATCCACAGCAAGAATACTTTTTTCAAAAAAAGAATACTTTTTTCAAATTTTCTTGCTGTGGATTTCACAACTGATGATGATTGCTTGTGTTGCAGTCGAAACGTCGTGAGAATTTTTTTTGTTTTATATTGTATCATTTTATTATTTCCCTTCTACGTGACTTTACCGAAAGAACCAAGAATATGAATCCCTGCAGTCATGAAAGCTTTAAATCAAAATTTATTTACCCATCGTAAAAAAAGAAATCGCAGAACCTATTTTGCCCTCACAGCTACCCATCGGCTTCCCTGCTGCTAACGAAACACGTCCGAAGACAAAACGCTTGTTTGGAGAGCGTCGCGTGATCTGTGCGTCATACGCGTGATTCTCCCCCCCCCCGCCACCGCTATTACTGTTGTCTGCAGCGCAGCGGCAACAGGGATGAGCTCCCCGGCTGATGATTATTTGGATGCTCACCGCTCCGCAGCCTGCAAAGCGTCCGGGTTCGGCGAAGGCAGCACGAAGCACACGGAGGGCACGGTCGCGTCCTTCCTGCCGACGCTTGCCACGCGCCACCGCGTCGCGTCCGAGTTGTCCTTCAGCTCGTACTCCTGATCCTTCTTCACCGTCACCTGCAAGGGGTGCCGCGGTGGCGAGATGTTAACTACCTCGCCTGGTGTACAGGAGGTCGTGGGTTCAATCCCGACCCTGACGCCTGCTGTATATTTGCAGTTTGTGTGTCTCTCTCCCTATGGCCGCGTGGAATTTTCTCCGGGTCCTCCGATTTTACCCTCCATATTTAGAAAACATCACGCATTTTTTTTATTTGGCTGCTATAAATGTTCACGTGATAAGCCACTTCGTTGAGCTATCATTTGTGGCCAGCTTGCTTCCGGAAAAGAGCTCTATCGTTCAGTGGGCCTTTCCCAGTAAAATAAAAATAAATAGTTTAGTTTAGTTTTAGAATGGAGAGGAAAAGGCGTAGCCCTGCAATTCCTTGTTCACTCCACTGCTCGCACAAAGGGCCTCCACTGGAGGAAGCTCTAGAGACCCCTCCCCCCCCCCCCAGAGGGTACTTTGCCCGACTCTTCCACACTGGACGTCTTGGAAGACGAGGCGGAAGCACCCACACTTTTAACCCCACCACACGTCACCTGCCAATCGACTGTGCTGTGCCCATTTATATGTCTGGATGCACAAGGATGGGAGGAAGGGGTGGGGGGGTTAACCTTCCAACATTGTTTTGGGAGATCGAATCAAACCAATGACCTCTGGGATTGAAAGTCCAGTTTGCTAAACATGACACCACATCACAGCGTCCGAATGTAAATGATCATCAGATAAATCCCCAATCAGCACCACAGCTCACGCCTTGATTAAAGCAATCGTAAAAAAATATGAAATATTATGTTTCTAATCCGCAGTGCGGTCCTAAGTAACAAATACAACTTGCTATTATATTGCACCCAATGATGTAATGAAATGTTTTAAAATTGCAGATTGTTTTTAGCTTTGGGGACCCCAAAATTTAAACTTGGCCCCATAATCCGTGGAGTTATATTGCACATGTTGTTGTAAGCGATTAATTTCACCAGTCTTAAATATGTGGATCTGTCAAAGCAAAGGTGCAAAAAAAAATAGGTAACGTACAGAAATTGCCAAATATATTTGTTTAATCATTGGCATTTTTACCGAACTGCCGGATAAAGGATTCTCAGTGTAAACTTGCCCTCCAGGGTAAGTGTTACGCAGACCATCTCAGAGTAACTCACTCGCAAGGGTGGTGCCTCTGGAAAGGACTGGACAAGCACAATTGGCAAACATCCTCGCAGCAGCAGCTGCAGCTTTTGGCTAACCACCGAACGCTCTTCCTTCCGATATTAGGAAACCACCGGAGCTGTGCACTTTTAAATCTTGATTGCAAACTAATTTCTTTCGAACTGCTTTTTGTGTTTAGTTTGTTGTCCTTCCCTCGCACCTCCAATTAGCATGGGTGACTACGTACGGTACAAAAGAAGTTAAAACATACATACATCTCAGCTCCTGTTACGTTCTCACACTTCCACACTGCTTCGTCTGCATCTTCCCATTACAAACCCTCCAGCCTCTCCCCGTACCACTCTCCACTTCCCCAGAACAGTGTCGTCAACCCACGTGTGCTGACTGCTACAAAAGAAATTCAACATACATAGAGACACTCAAACTAAAGCAATATACGACGGCGGCGGCCTACCTCAGGCTGTGTGTAGTCTGTGATGGCCGTGACGGTGACAGGGTCCTTCAGGGTGTGGCCGGGCCTTCGTGGCTTTAGATTGAGCACCGACTGGGACCTTCCCACCAGCTCGTGCACCTTCCCCTTCAGAGGCACCAAGCGCTGCTCCGTCTGGCACAACAATGGCGCGACAAACGGCACAGTTATCGTCAACGTTGCAATCATCTCTCGACTTGGGAGTGCATTCTGGGGTTGTCGGTCGGTGGTTTGATCCTCTTGGCTGGTGCAAGGAGCTGAGGAAAGATCAACCTGGTCGATGTTACTAACAACTTTTGGTATTTATTCGTTTACTTAAATTTTATCGTTTGTTGATTTCTACACTTAAAAACCTTCATCGCAACTTCTTTCTTTGGGGTTTATTATTAAAGTCTAAAGTGGCGCAGAAAATATTTGGACATAAACACTAAACACAGAGATATTTATAAGCAACATTATTAAACTACAAAGCACCGTGAAAAAGGTTTGAACACAAACACCAAACACAGTAACAAAAATACGCAATATTATGACAGTGCGGGGGCAGCGTGGAAAAGATAAAATGTCTCCTCCCGCAGTGTTTCAGTCTCGAGTTGTCAGTGAACAGGTATGCTGCTCTGAGCAGTGGAACAAAAACAAGGGAAATACAGCAGTGACAGGCAACCCAGACCATAGTCGGTGGGCCATGTGAGCGGCCCTCCTTCACCTCAGTGGGCCGCAAGCTTGAGACATGGTGCTTGTGCACTAACCACGACCCCACGCATCAGCCTGGACACACTGAGACCAGCCCACCACGTGGGGCTCCACGGAACGCAGATTGCCCACCACTGGTGTAGTGTACTGTAGTGTATAGTATGTTTAGTGTAGTGTATAGTGTAGTGTGTCTTGTGTAGTGTGTCTAGCGGAGTGTCTAGTGTAGTTTACAGTGTAGTGTGTATAGTGTGGTGTATAATGTAGTGTACAGTGTAGTGTATAGTGTAGTGTGTCTAGTGTAGTGTGTCTAGCGGAGTGTCTAGTGTAGTTTACAGTGTAGTGTGTATAGTGTGGTGTATAATGTAGTGTACAGTGTAGTGTATAGTGTAGTGTGTCTTGTGTAGTGTGTCTAGCGGAGTGTCTAGTGTAGTTTACAGTGTAGTGTGTATAGTGTGGTGTATAATGTAGTGTACAGTGTAGTGTGTATAGTGTGGTGTATAGTGTAGTGGACAGTGTAGTGGGTATAGGGTAGTGTGTCTAGTGTATTGTGTCTAGCGTAGTGTCTAGTGTAATTTACAGTGTAGTGTGTATAGTGTGGTGTATAGTGTAGTGTACAGTGCAGTGTACAGTGTAGTTGTACAGTGCAGTGTACAGTGTAGTGGGCAGTGCAGTGCACGGTGTGGTGCACAGTGCTGTGTGCGGTATGCGGTGTGGTGTACAGTGTGGTGTGTAGTGTAGTATGTAGTGTAGAGTGTAGTGGACTTCAAGCTTGAGACGTGGTGCTTGTGCACTAACCACGACCCCATGCATCACCCCTAGACACACTGAGACCAGCCCACCACGTGGGGCTCCACGGAACGCAGATTGCCCACTACTGGAATACAGGATAATCCATTTATAGATGATGATAATAATTATAAAAAAATCTACTTTTACTGGGCATAGACTTCACTCACTGTCGTCGAAAAACAATAGCTCAGAGGTGCGAGAAACCACAGGCAAGCAGGAAGGGAGCCAGCCCCAAACAATTACCAAAGCTTAGCGATCCTCTACATATCAAGGTGTTATCGGCGAATTAATGAGTGTTTATATACCCCCACGTTGCCTGACAGCTGAATGAATATATTGTGAAAGTGATGGCTCCGTATCTTACAGGGGAGAGTGTATTGAGATTGGTGGGAGACATGTAGCAGCTTTAAAATAAATGCCTATCTCTAAGCGTAGTGAGGTATCTATAAGTGAATGACCCTGTATGCATATATATATACAGTGTTGTGGGGAATGATGGCGCATTGGTTAGCATACTGCACTACAAACCCTGAAACCCGAGTTCGATTCCCACTCACGAACAACAAAAGTGGCGAATATTTGAACTGGTCCTTGGCCTCCCATAGGTTGACTCAGCCTTAAATGAGTACATGGTGAATGTGTAATGATCAGCACTGGGGAATGAAAAGGCCGGGCATGGTGTTGGCCACCCACCCCTCGTGTGCCATACCAGCCTTAATAGGTGTTTCATAACAGCACTTGCCCCATTTACCTGTAGAAGGCTATACTGGGGATCTTTGTCATATATTGCGTGAGGCACAATAGATTCTATATATGAACCTTATGGCGGGACCCCGGGGTCCCATAAGCCCCTGGCTCTCGCATAAACGTTATATTATAATGTAAACAAAAACTTAGCTCTTTTTCACCAATGGGTTTGAAGGATGGTGGCAAGTGTTGTTTTGTTAAACTATGCCTTTAAAACTGAAAACTACTTACCTGCAATACCTCTATTTAAATACACTATCGAACAAATTAGTTACGCCCCTCTGTCAATCATCGTGTTTCTCAGTGTGGATTTGTGAACACACTTTGTAAACAGTACATAAAATAGTACGCATTTCCAATGCGCTGTTCATATTGTAACAAGCGTTTATACCAATGTTACTCTACAGAGTAGTGGGTCGCCGCTCCTCTTATCCGCATTGATACGAGCGGTATGTGGGGACTATGTCTTAACCGCAAAAAAAGCCTATCTGCACAGATCCATACGGACAAGAGAAGTATTATCAAACAGGAGGAATTAACGGTGCAATGCATCTCATCTGTTAAATATTTGCAGGTAATAGGATTGTCATCGAATGATCCTGGCTGCAGACATTGGTAGGTCACAACTAATAATGAAGATAAGAGAGCAGTTTCACTGTATTATGCAAACCGTTATAAAAAATTAAGGACTTAAGTCGTGTAGGCAGTTTGAGCAGCTTTGGATAAGACTTATGACCCTGCCCATACTCGAGCATGGAGTGCAGCATTCGCTTGTCCAGCTCTTCTGCGCTGACGTCCTCGCTGCTGCGCTTGGACACGACACGACAACAGAATGATCCGCGCCAGGTGGGTCGCGGCATTTATGTGCGCGGTGGGACGGAGTCGCCAAAAATAAATTAATAACGATTTTGACTTCTGTTTATTCTGGACCCTGGGGTCCCACCATAAGGTTCATATATATGTGTACGCACACAGAATATCCGCGTGTGTACGACAGGCGAGCTGGCGCATGCCAGGCAACCAGAGCTTTGGAGGTTGGTGCTGCTGGATCACGCTTTGCGCTTCCTCGCTACGACTCAACAAACTGCGGATCTTCCTATCGACTCCGTGGGGTTATCCATCGATGGATCGCGCTGCCGCACACGTAGCGAGCGAAATGAGGAAAGTGGCACCCACGTGCGTCTGCTGGAGCAGGCTCTCAAGGCGGGGCACGTCGGTGGAGGCATCGCACGCGTACGCCTGGTTCAGCGAATCCCGCACGGCGCTCAGTTCCTTGCCGGTGTCGTCCACGTCGCGGAAGAACTGCGGAGAAGAAGGAGAGGAGGAGGCAGCGCGGTGGTCAGGTGGCTCGGGCATGAAGCAATGCGGCCAGTGGCGAGGCATCTGATCGAGCCGCTGATGCCCTGCGCACCTCATCATACCCCTTCGCCAGATCCCGCAGCTGCTGCACCGTTGACACACGGTGACCTGTGTGTGTACGTACATATTTATGCGTTGAACTTATTTTGCACCGTATGTGGCCAACCGTGCTAATCGGAGTATGCGAGTCACAATTCGTAAACACGCTGCAATCCGTTAAGACCCGTCATCGTTCATCAACTTCGCGTCACAATCCAAGTGGAGTGACTCGATAAAAAAAAAAGAAATTGCTTGTCATATTGCGGTGCACTCTGTCACCTCTCGTGTCTTCAGAGATCAGGTGAACTACTTGGGGACAACATGCCACCAACTTGCCATGAACCGTTTAGTTTGTTGTCGTTCCCTCGCGTTGTTGGCTACGTACGGTGCAAAATAAGCGCGACATACATACATCTATGACTGTTTGAGTGTGGATAATAACAGCCATCTGGGCACTGAGTTGAACGGATGAATGCCTCCCAACAAGTTTGATGTTGTCCATCTGATGCGCTCATGTTTTACACTATGAATATGTGGTGAGGTCATGTCTTCAAATAATGACACATGCACACACACAACAGAAGGGTTATACACTCTTTCAAACATTTAGTTTGAACATATTTCTACCAATAAACAATCATAACCGTATTTCGAATTTGAAGAATGTTTATACCAATCATATTAAATAATATGCACTCTATCAAGTACTGTATTTGTATTGTGTGGGGTTGCCCACCTCTACCAAGACATCTAGGTAAGCATGAAAGGATAGGCCAAATACCCTCTACAGCAGCGTTCTTCATTGCAAGGCCCGTGGGCCACTGGGGGCCCCTTGGTGGCCTTTAGTGCAGCCCCTCTACAATACACATCACCGGGCTGTCAAACCCCAATGGTGTAAAATATCTGGCGGCCCCTCTGAAAATTAGTAAAGAACACTGCTCTAGAGGGGCTTTGTTTATGGTTACTACACCCACACTATTAATCTGGGTGGCCGTCGGATTCAAACCGTGGACCTCTGCAACAAGGGGGGGGGGGCGGGGGCAAACGCGCGACCACAAGGCCGCGTCGCCGCCCCCGTTCAATCCGAACGAGTGAACAGCGACTGAACAGTGACGCGTCCCAGCTCTGAACGCCCCGACGACAAACAGCAGAACAGAGTATAACAGTAGATTTGCCCCTTTTTGGCAATAAAACAGGAGGTGTTAAGATGTTACAACACCAAACAGAATCCTTTGTCAAGGAATCGTGTCCGCATTAACCACACGTACTTGTGGCGAACATGTAAACAAAAACGTGCTCTGATAATATACGGCATTGTCTTTGAAACTGATTGGTCCTCACCAGAGGCAGCTTTCCTTTGAGCCGAGTCTCAAAGTGTTTCGACGAGAGAACGGCAAAAGGCGAACAGCACCAAGACAATGCCACTCTTAGGGCATTCACAGCTCGGGGCGAGCAGCTACAATATGGGACCTTTCTTTCCAGTAACAAAATATTACAATATATTTCACCCTTTCTGGAAATAAAACAGTTGTTAAGATGTTAAAACACCAAAATCTAACAATAAAACCTCTTGTTATATTTTTTGATACTGGCAAGAAAGATCCCATGTTGTAGCAGAGCAGAGTGCCTGGGATCGCGGGGAGGTGGCGTTTGTAAGGCACCTGGAAATAAGCGGCGTTCTCTTGCAGGTGAGTTTCCCCGCAGGCGCCGAGCTGCGTCAGCCAGGCCCACTGGGCGCCGATTCCCTCGAGGGAAGCCTGCGGCGCGAGACAAGAGACACGTGGCGAGCATCGCGCGACGTTAATCGCGCACACAGTTACGGGATCGGCAGAGACTATCAACGTTGAGGCATTAAACCCCTGCCTTGTGACCTCTCTCCAGCTGAGTCATGGACAGGTCAAATGTATTTACACGTGTGGTGACTAACTCTGAGACGATGAGACTTGGAGGCATTTCTTTATTAACGAGCACCATGGGGGTTAAGACTCTTAATATTTAGTCCGTCTATTGTCGGCGCCGCTACTCAGTCAGGACAGTTGGTAGGTTGCCTGACTGGCGGCGCCCCGAGATGGTGAAGACGGAGACTACGACAAGAAGAATGGTGAAGACGACGAGAAGAACGGTGACGAAGACTTCAGCAGCACGATGGAGATTCCACTCAAACAACAGCCCCGAGGTCCCCTAAAGGGGCCCCTCTTGTACTGTCACGTGGCCACGCCCCGCCCCCGGCCACGCCCCCTTTCTAGAACCTACCAGCGGGTTCCTGGTGTGCCCCTTCTGTGACCTTTCTGCTAGATCCCCCTCTCGTGTCTATCCTGGCCTACTGACGTCAGGGCTGCCGTATGCCGCAGATCCCCTTTCCTGCCAGCAGCCAGCGCAATGCCACTACACACGTAACGAATGCATGCAGAATAAACGGGTTTGTAGATGACGGTTTTAAACCAGGGGTCAGCAATCGAAATGAGAGCCATTTTATTCCAAATTCGGTATGAACTCAATACTTCAAGACCCGCAGTGCCCGTGGTGAATAGGAGACGTTGATCCTCAATAAATCGCGTCATGAAGCGGTCCTGAACGAGCCGTATGCAGGGTGTCTACTCCTGGTTTTAACAAACAATAATACGAATTCGATTTGAAGGCAAGTTGTCTGCACTCTCTAATGGGTATCGATCAGTGCTTATCTTCATTCATGACCGTGGGACAAGGGGCGGTATTTCCACATTCATATGGCAGGGGCTCGTCTCTCCATAGATTCCAAATGTTTTGGGCGCTGGATGAATGAACGGGTTGCATCAACCTCACTGGGATTTGAACTCGCAACCCCTTGATTGCGAGCCACTCGCTCAACCGCTGAGCCACCTTGGATTTATATGGCGTCTTAAAGGCGTGTCGAGACGCTGTTTTGTGATTACCCGTATGTTCAATTTCATCCAACTCCACCGGAAAGAATATGAATGGTACAAATTGTGAGTCGCAATCAAAGAATCAGTCCCTCCTTTCATATTTCACAATGCCCTATGTGTGTTGCTTTGTTGGTAAACGTTTTGGTTTAGCCATATTTGTTTGTTGTAGTACAGAGTTAGACTGATAACTTTAATCTAAATTGTCTTGTGGTTGTTATTGTTTGACTTGCATCCCACTGGCATTTTTGCACACAGCGTTCATGTGCGGTGCTTTTTCTGGAAGACTTTGATGTTTTTTCCTGGGTTTTTTCTGTTTGCGCGTAGTCACTTTAAGATGTTTCTTGTTCACGTTTTTGTTTGTTGCGGTTGCACCCGAGTCAAGAGCCAAATGGCTCACATGGCTATACCAAATAAATGAAAACTGAAAAAAAATGTCTGTGTCTTGCATAACGTCTGCCTCATTTGAACCAAGTCTCACTTGCAGCGTCTCTCGGTGCCCACTGACCTTCGTCTCGTCTGTCTTGTTTCTTCCACCGTCCAACTCAACGCAAGTGAATCGTGAGCGTACGAAGTGGATTCAATCGACAGACGAGTGCACTGTTACCCGCCTGCTGTATAAGATGTGACTATGAAGAGGATGTAGTTAACATCTCGGCACTGTGGCGAAATGGTAACTACCTCGCCTGGTATACATAAGGTCGTGGGTTCGATCCCGACCCTGATGATTGTATTCTAGATTTGAAACGTTCGTGACTGCAAGGATTCATACTCTTAGGTTTTTTTGGTAAAGTCATGTAGGAATAAAATAATAATAATAAAATAATAAATGAAAATAACTCAATTGATTCACGACGTTTTGGAGGCAACACAAGTCTCCGTCTTAAGGTGGGACCGTCACAGTCAAATTTACTGTATCAAGTGAAGAAAAATCCAGGAGACAAGATCTTATATACTGGTTAAGGGGAGGGGGGAGGAGCTTATCTAAATGTGTCAGTCAGGGACTGGGATGGTGGTGGGGGGGGGATGATTGTATACTCAGAGTTTGCATGTTCTCTCCGTGGTCCTGTGGAATTTTTCAACGGGTCCTCTGGTTTTTTCCCCACCACATTTAGAAACGTGCGTTTAGAGGATTTGGCTGCTAGAAATTCCCACGTGATAAGCCACTTTGTCGAGCTATCATGTGTGGCCAGGGCCAGGTCGCTTCTAACAAGTATAACCCGTAAAAACAACGTTTTTCACTATAAATCCTTTATATGCGTGGCAGCGAACTTAATATAAAGGATTTAAAAATATATTCGGCTGTGGAGGACGCGGGGATCGATCCCGCGACCTTTGGCATGGGAAGCGAGGGCGCTACCAACTGCGCTACTCCACCACGGCCTGTGGAGGGGTTACGCTCTGGGCTCTTACACTGTGACGTTCAGCCAAAGCCAAGAATGAGTTATATTTGAATATATGTTAAATACATTTTTTTGCCTAAAAAGTGTAAAATGTTGGGAATTTTTTTTCACGAACAATAATTGTCTGGCACAACGAGTCTGTGTGGAAAATGTCAGCTCGATTGGATCACGGGAAGTGGGTTAAAAAACGACCGAAAGATTTGCACGGTCGTAAGCCAGCAAGCAAGCAAGCACGCAAGCATGCGAACTTAATATAAAGGATTTAAAAAGACCAATATCTCCCAGTGGGCCTTACCTGGATAAATAAAAAATATGGAATAGTTTTTTTTGTTTTACAGACTCAAAAAAGGTATTGCACTGGTACGCTACCTCAATAGTAGACTTGGCAGGGTGCTTATCTGACAACAGCTTTTCTCCCAGCTTCTTGATGTCCGCAAAAATGGGTTGCTTTTCGTTCAGCTTCTTCTGCGATGCCTGCAAAGGGAACACAATCGTTGTGCCAAGTTTATTTTCGGATGCGAAATTTATCATAACTATTTTTTTTTTAACACGGTTACCTTTCATCGACAGATCACAAAAGCGCCGTACAAGTGAACATTTCAACACTCCATCCATAGCAAGATTAGCCAAGGCAACCAAGGTATGAATATATAAATAAAAACACTGATTCTACTTGAAACGCAGTGAGGTTCCCACCCGCGCATGATTCGATGAATGGGTCGCGTGATTTAATAACCGATTTCAATCGCCGAATCCATGAACTGTCACATGCCCTAATGTGCACCTCCACAGCGTGACCAGAAATATTGCTTAAGAGCTGGGACGATTATTCTGTTCCACTGAGTAATCAAATTAACATGACTAGCTCCGCCCCCACTTCGTTTATGACCCTTGGGCTACACCCATTTTAAACCTTTAAAACAGTCTGCCTCAGCAGCTGTCCCACTCTTTTTTCTTCCTGATGACGACCGCTTGCGTTGCGATCAGACGTAGTTTTTTTGTTATTTTCTTTGAACTTATCGACGTGATTTTACCGAAAGACCCAAAGAATACGAATTCCTGCAGTCACGAAAGCTTTAAGTCAAGATCAAATTAATGTGTCGATTACTTGGGCCCACTTGCTATGGCGGCCTCCCCTACATTACTCCCCCCCTGCCAAAACAAGAAATGTATTTAATAGGCACATATGCCTACACACCCTACATACAATAGTCAGTAGTATTTGCACACATTGGGGGGGAAAAGGACATCAGTGGGGGCGACGGGCAAGGTGCAATGCATCAAGCAGCCCTCTCTGCAGGAGCTAGAATAAGGCGGCCAAAGGTCGTCGAATTTCTAAATCATTCAAAACGACCTGCGGTCTACCGTGGACCAAGCCCGACTAAGGTGTCTGGCCATCGTGTCAATAGGAGCATAACCTTGCGCGATCCACCCACTTTGAGGAAATCCTAGACCGATGGGCTGGCATGAAAGTAAGGCGCATGATAACTTAATTGTGAGTATTGTACCTTTCAATCTTGTTTTTATTAATATACTGTCACTGTGAGACCGTGTTCCTCGATACCCAATAAATGGTACAACGAAAATAATATGTTGTTAGAAGCTCCATATTTTTGCATACAGGTTAAAAACCATGCGTAAGCTACTTGAGAAAAAGCAAGTCGGGAGAAAGTAGGGGGGCCACAGTCGTATCTTGCATAGCCCTGTCGAAATAGGACGTTGCGCCGCTGTATATTCATGTTATCCGATTAGTAATAGGTTTTATCCCTTTCAACTGCTACAAAAACTGACACCTTTATACAAGGCATCATGTTTGCAATAACCACTACACAAGCAGTCAAAATGCAAACAAAAAGAAACAACTCTGATGATGATAATGATATGCACTGTCCGTGAAGTTGATTGGTCCACACCCGAGACAGCTTTTCTTAGAGCCGAGTTACCATTGGTGTTGGACCAGATGACGCCAAAAGGCGTACAACTCAAAGAAAGCGCACTATCAGAGTATTGAGAGCTCGGGGTAAGCATTTACACTATGAGACCTCCTTTACCAGTGGCAAAATATAGTAATAGGTTTTTTGTACCAGTTGAAAGGGTAAAAACCTATTACTATATTTTGCCACTGGTAAGGGAGGTCTCATGGTGTTATCCGATTAGTCGAGCAACGGAACCAGTGCAATCGGTGATGGAATCGATGACTTCGGTAAATCGGAAAGCTCAGTTCTAGCGTGGAGGCACTCACGTCAAGGCTCTTCCTCTGAGCCTCCATGTCGGCGTTCTTGTCGCTCCAGTCGCGTTCCAGCTGCTCCGTCTCCTGGCCCTTGGCCCACGCCAGCTCGGCCTCAGCCGGAGCCAAGAAGGCGAGCAGCTCTTGCAGTCGTGTGGAGCGAGCCCCTGACGCGGCCTGCAAGACGAGAGAGAGAGTGGCTGCTTCACCGCCGTGCCCCATGTGTGTGTCTGGGCCTGGGTGGACCATGGAAGCTGGTGGATCATGAAGCTCGTTATACGCCCCTGTTAGAGCGATGAGTTTATTTTCCTTTTTTCGGCAAGAGCTCGGGACAGAATGCGGGCAATTACAAGGGAAGAAGGCGCAGAGCTCAGGGGTTGGGGGAAAGGGGAAAAATGGGACTGCCGAGTAGAAACACAGAGACTGCCGAGTAGAAACACAGCAATGTGCTTTTAATATGGGGAAGAAAAGGCAAGGGAGTAATTGAAAAAGGGTGGGGGGGGGAAGGTGTACAAAACCAAGATTTATAAAAAAAAAATAACCTCCAAATGCCAAATGAAATCGTCATCTTAATTAATCGAGCGATTAGTCAATGAACCGCCCTTGCTGAGTGCCCGTGTGTGCAGCACAGCTGGGCACAGGGTGCGCCCCCCACGCATGGGTGGAGTTTGGGGGGGGGGGTGGCACGGGGGGGGGGGGGGGCAACGCCCTTCCCAAACTGGACACCTTTATTAACTTATTTTCACTAGTTTACAATTAAGATAAAAAATACATTAATTATATGTGAGGGGCAAAGCGAACGTCCTCCCCCCCCCCAAATCAAACTCTGCCTGTGATGCCACCAGTCTCGTTTTTGCCCGAGCTGGAGCAGCGAGGCCTCCTCTAACGCAGAGGTCTTGGGTTCGAATCCAGGCACCCACCCGCGGTTTAGTACGGGGCTCTCAGGAGCGGCGAGTCCATCGTCTCAGCACTATCTCGTAGATTTACCACAGTACGAACGTATTCAGTGAATTTGGCATCGTCATGATCATCACGATCCATGGACGTAGGTGTCCACTGCACATTTCCACAGGGGGCAGAATTCAGAGTGGGAGTGGCTACGCAAGTCACGTGATTTGCAGGAGACTTGAGCTGATTTAGATGCGTAGATAATTCAGATAAGATTGTAAAATTTAAAAATATATATTCAAAGTAAAAATTAAAAGAGCATATGTATAAACTCATGTCTGTAAGAAAATGGAATGCTTTCGTGAGATGCTGAGAACTTTAGTTTTTAAATGTGGATCATATTAAATAAGCAGATGTGTTCAGCACTTGGATGTTTGTACAGCAGATGGTATTGTTAGAAGCATTGTTTAAAATATCAGACAACCCATCAATAAATGTTTGTGTATTCATCTGGCGCTAGCCAGGGAATGTACTGTTACTTACAAGTGACTTATTATAAGTAGCCGTTAGCGCTGCCAAACTGTCTGTGTAATTCTTCTTACGGCTTGCTGGAACTTTACTCTGAAAATAATCATATGAAATGCCAGATTATTATACATCAGCAAAAAAATACACAATGCGTTTAGATGCACTGCACGCACAAACCCGTAAATGTGCGGCAACGATTTCCAATTACAATCATCATAAGGCGATTTTGCCATGAAAATATGAAGGAACGACATGTCACATGCCATGTACATACAGTTGATATAGCGCAATGGTCAAACGCAATGGATCTAAACTAGCCCCCGAATTTCCACAGACCACTAAATCAGGAGTAAAACGACATGCAAATAAAGCAATATACAATGTTGGAATTGGTAATAAGAAACCAAAAGCTGGACCAAAACGAATATTCAATGCCAAGAGTTTTTAACCAACTGGCAAGACAATCATCCGTAAATTGCTTCAATGCCGTACAATATATTTTACAATTTTTTTTTATTTTACCAGGTAAGGCTCCACTGAGCTATATAGCTCTTTCAGAAGGGACCTGGTCACAAATGATAGCTCAACGAGTGGCTTGTCATGGTGGAAATTCATAGCAGCCAAATACTCTCAATGCACGTTTCTAAATGTGGATGTAAACACCGGAGAACCCCCGAGAGAAATCCACGTAACCATGGCGAGAACATGGAAACTCAAAATATACAGCGGGCGTCAGGGTCGGGATCGAACCCACGACCTCCTGTATACCCGGCGAGGTAGTTAACATTTCGTGACCATGGAGCCCCATATACCGTACCTCATAAGCCTGGGCCTCCACAACTTTGGTGTTCAGGCCCTCCAGGACCTGGTGGAGATTCTTGTGGCTCTGCAAGTTGGCCCCAACGGAGGAGAGGTCTATCCCCCAGTCGGCACTCTCAATCTCCATCTTGGTACAAGGCAAGTCAAAAATAAAGAGCGCTCTATATTACATATAGTCGTTTCCACCATTGTGATAGAAACACAACATCTGCCTGATTATAGTTGCTTTACGATTGATGGTACTTTTAAGGACACTGTGCAGTAACTTGTAAATGCAATTGCCGAAAGTTTTTTTTAATTTTGCTTACATATAGATTATCTATCAAATTAAACCAACTTTAACACCCTGTAATCATATAATTGTCTGACAAACTCTGAACAACTTTACTTGATCGTACTCGCATCTACAGACATTAACTACAACTGGCAGTTGCATCTACACAAACGCACCTGTTTTTCCTCCATGAGGGCCATGAGGTCCTTGATGAAGTTAAGCTTTTGGTCAGCCTCCGCCTCGGCTTTAGCCTCAGCCTGGGCCTTGCTCAGGGACTCTGCCAGCGCCCGTGCCTCCGCTTCCGCCCGCAGCCTCGCTTCTTCTGCTTCCTTCGCTTTCACCGCTTCCCTTTCCTTGGCCTCGGCCTCCTTAGCCCTGGCCTCCTCTTGCTGCTTGGCAATGGAGTCCGCTAATGCCTTCGCTGCAGCATCGGCTTGGAACCTAACCTTGGTCTGCTGCTGAGCTATCAACCTGACCTTTTCCTCTTCCTGCACCTTAGCCAGAGCTTCTGCCTTCGCCTTGGCTCTGGCCTCCTCTTGGGCCTTGGCTTTAGCCTCTGCCTCCTTGGCTTGCGCCTCCTTTGCTGCAGCCTCGGCCTTGGCCTTTTCCTTTGCCTCCTGTTCAGCCTTTGCCTTGGCCCTTGCCTCCTCCTCAGCTTTGGCTTTAGCGGCGGCCTCCTTTGCTGCAGCCTCGGCCTTAGCCTTTTCCTTTGCCTCCTGTTCAGCCTTTGCCTTGGCCCTTGCCTCTTCTTCAGCTTTGGCTTTAGCGGCCACCTCCTTGGCTGCAGCCTCCTTTGCTGCAGCCTCGGCCTTGGCCTTGTCCTTTGCCTCCTGTTCAGCCTTTGCCTTGGCCCTTGCCTCTTCTTCAGCTTTGGCTTTAGCGGCCGCCTCCTTGGCTGCAGCCTCCTTTGCTGCAGCCTCGGCCTTGGCCTTGTCCTTTGCCTCCTGTTCAGCCTTTGCCTTGGCCCTTGCCTCTTCTTCAGCTTTGGCTTTAGCGGCCGCCTCCTTGGCTGCAGCCTCCTTTGCTGCAGCCTCGGCCTTGGCCTTGTCCTTTGCCTCCTGTTCAGCCTTTGCCTTGGCCCTTGCCTCTTCTTCAGCTTTGGCTTTAGCGGCCGCCTCCTTGGCTGCAGCCTCCTTTGCTGCAGCCTCGGCCTTGGCCTTGTCCTTTGCCTCCTGTTCAGCCTTTGCCTTGGCCCTTGCCTCTTCTTCAGCTTTGGCTTTAGCGGCCGCCTCCTTGGCTTGCGCCTCCTTGGCTTGCGCCTCCTTGGCTTGCGCCTCCTTTGCTGCAGCCTCCTTGGCTTGCGCCTCAGCTTTGGCTCTTTCTTTAGCCTCCTGCTCAGCCTTTGCCTTTGCTTTTGCCTCCTCCTGGGCTTTGGCTCGAGCCTCCGCCTCCTTTGCCTTGGCTTCTAGTTGTTCCCTTCCTATGGCTTCTGCCAACGCCCTGGCTTCTTGGTCAACTCTTTCCCTCTCCTTGGCCTCTCGCTGAGCCTTCGCCTTGGCCTCCGCTTGTGCCGCCTTGGCTTTGGTCGCAATATCGGCCGGGATCTTGACTTGCTCTTGGAACTGCATCAGCGGTGCCTGCACTGACTGTGCCTGGATGACCTTTATCTCGTCCACGGGGCCAGCAGCAGGCTTAGATGCAGCGGCGAATTTGCCGAGCCTGTCCAGTGCAACGGTAAATCTCAGTTAGCTGATTGTCCATCACATACGTATGTATGTATGTTGAACATCTTTTCGCACTGTAAGTAGCCAACCGTGCTAACCGGAGGTGTGGGGAAAGGACAATAAACTAAACATAATAAGCAGTTCTGAAGACATGAGTTTTCAATTTTGATTTAAAAGTGTATAACTCCAGTGGCTTCCTAAGATCGGAAAAGACCCATAAAGAACCACAGAAATCCAGAGACTGATATACAACCATAGAGACCCACAGAAACCCATAAAAACCCATATTTATATGTATGTATGTATGTTGAAGTTCTTCCGCAACATACGTAGCCAACCATGCTAATCGGAGGTGCATGATTAGGACAAAAAACTAAACACAAAAAGCAGTTCTAAAGAAATTAGTTTTCAATTCAGTTTTAAGTGTATAGCTTCAGTAGCTTCCTAATATAGGACGGAAAAACGTTCCAGATGGCTGCATCATGTTGACGTCATGTATCCAACAATCTTTGTATAATATTACTGACCTGCATGTCAATAACAAAAATTAAAATTAATACAAAAATATTCTTATTATTAAAAGTAGATTGTCATCGAAATGTGCTTGACTCATATTAGATCAGTACGCATTATCTCGGAAGCTAAGCAGGTTTGAGCATGGACAATGCTTGGATGGGTGACCACCATGCACAGCAGGTTGCTAAAGGATGCGGAGATTCTTGGTGGGCAGCAGAGGGTTAGTGCAGCACTCATACTCTGCTGTACTGTACTTCCGCGCACAACAAGTGTGGCCAAAAAAAACTTAAACTACATTTTTTTATTTTGCCAGGGTAAGGCCCACTGAGCTATGTAGCTCTTTTTCAGCAGTGACGGGGAGAACATGCAAACTCCAAATATACAGGCGTTAGGATCAGGATCGAACTCACGACCTCCTGTATACCAGGCGAGGTGGTTAACATCTTGCCACCGTGGCGAGAAAAACCCCCACAGTGGTGCAGGGTGTGGGGAAGCCCTCATCCACCAGTGGACTGGCAAAGGTCTGTGCAGGGGACATGCTTTGTGTGATCTGGAGTCCAAAGGGCTCGGGTTAAATGAGTGTGTGTCTACCTGGAGGCTTCCTGCTGAGCCTTCATCTCCCCCGCTTGGATGACCTTGACCAACTTCCCCAGTTCCTTTTCCACATCTGCCGGGGACTGACCAGGGGCCACCTTTATCCGACCAAAATTGATCCAAACCTGAAACACAGATCGGAGGGTCAACGTGTATGTGTGTATGTACGTACGTATGTTGAGCTTCTTTCGCACCGTACGAACGCAACCGTGCTCATCGGAGGTGCGGGGCGGGGGGGGAACACAAACTAAACGCAAAAAATCAGTTCTGAAGAAATGGGTTTTCAATCTAGATGATTTAACAGTGCATAGCTCCCAGTGGCTTCTTAATATCGGAAGGAAGAGCGTTCTAGATGGCCGCAGAAGCGTGTCTGATAGCAAGCGATGCAGTGACCGTCTTTGTCCGATGGCCAGCCAAAAGCCGCTGTGAGGACGACCTGAGTTTGCGTGATGGTTTATGTTCCTTGACGAGATCAGCAAGGTAACAACACATGACCAATGCAAATTGGACGACGTAAAACATAAGTTGGAATGAGGCACTGTTGGATAAACAGCAGTCCTGGTTTATATTGAACAAAGGCTGTAATAAAACAACTTTCAGAAATCAACTCCAGCTGATTTTTTATTGCAACTATTTCATTGAGTAAGGAAATATACATTTTGCACAACAACTGCCATCTATAAAAATCACATAATTATTTTACTTTCATCTACACCTATGTAACCTCCCATTTTAATAATAAGTTTTATTTGTATGTAGCTTTAATGCTGTAGAATGCGTAACGCGCACAGTTTTGGCACCGAGGCGCGGGAATTCACAGACAAGTGGGAAGGAAGTAATCCTAAGCTCTGTTGTCTTATATTTGGAGGTTTAGCAAACATCACTAATGAACAATCTCGATTTGAAGTTTTCGTGACTGCAGGGATCCATACTCTTTGGTTCTTTCGGTAAAGTCACGTAGGTAGAAAATTAATAGATCACGACGTTTCGATCGCAACACAAGCAATCATCATCAGGTGGGAAAACCACAGCAAGAACATTTTTTGCTGAAGTGGGAGATAGATGCCGTGGTAAGAGGTTCACGTCCCTCTCCTAGCGTCCACGCAACGCTCCCCTCCCCCTTCTCCCCCCCCCCTTCCCCCTCCCCCTCTTACCTATATAACCTCTTACCATGGCCTCTCTCCCACTTCAGCACAACATTTTCTTGCTGTGGTTTTCCCATCTGATGATGATTGCTTGTGTTGCAATCGAAACGTCGTGATTTAATTTATTCTATTTTAAACCTACGTGACTTTACCGAAAGAAGCAAAGAGTACCATTAATGAACGTTAATACCCGTGAGAGTACCCAGAGTAAAACGTTGACTGAGATGCTGGTGCACCATGCATGCATAAGGCGCTACTGCACCTGCAATGCCTTGTACAGTTTCTCGATGCTGGCTTTTTCCCCGTCTCTGCCGGGAATGTCTTTCTCCTTCAGCTGCAGCAACAGAATCTGGAAATCCTGGAAAACACAGCAGGCAACAGCAACAATCGTGAACCTCATGTCTGCGATAGGTTTGCTGCTTAATGTTTTTATACCTGTACGTAGAGTAGCTGAAGCAAATTTGCATCTCAAAATGCATCGGGGTTTGTAGCGCGTGCAGTTTCGCGTGCAGGCGCGGGAAGGCAGCCACAACCGGCGCCAACAATTTCCCAAGCTCTGTTGTCCTATATGTCCAACTGGACATCTTTGAAAAAGAGCTTCATAGCTCATCGGATTTCTCGAGGATGAAGAAAAGATTATGATTCCGATATTGGGATATTTGGCCAACTCTTTCACTTTGAACCATTGCTTTCAGCGGGTTGTTTTAAAGCGTGCGAGTCACAATCCGTAAAAAAAAAGCACCTCAATTCGCTGCACTTTTTCTTCTCATCCGTTAGACGCGCCATTGTTCGTCAAGTTCGTGTAACAATCCAAGGGGAGCTACTTGATTAATTTAATAAAAAAGAATTTTATCATTATATTGAGATGCACTCCGTCTCCTCTCCTGTCTTCAGGGGTCATGTGAACTACTTAGGTACAACATAAACGGATGAAAACAATCGATTCTCACACGAATTATATTAGGCATTTGAACCTCACGGCAGGACCCCGGGGTCCCATTAGCCCCCGGCTCTCGCATAAACTACGTTGCGACGTCATGTTGTGTCTGTTGAAGGCGAACGACACGGCAATCTATTCCTCTCGAAGAGCTCTACACGATGCGCTAATACAAGTTTCAAAGTTTTCGATTTAAAGCTTTCGTGACTGCAGGGATTCATCCTCTTGGTTCTTTCGGTAAAGTCACGTAGAAGGGAAATAATAAAATAAAATAAAAAAAACATAATAAAATAATTCTCACGACGTTTCGGCCACAACGCAAGCAGCCATCCTCAGGTGAAGAACAGGTCTGTCAGAAAGACAGCGTCTGAATTCAGACGCTGTCTTTTCGACAGACCTGTTCGAAACGTCGTGAGAATTATTTTTATTATGTTTAATTTTTATTATTTTATTATTTCCCTTCTACGTGACTTTACCGAAAGAACCAAGGAGATTTCAAAGCTTTGTTTCTTCTGCGTGGTAGTTTATGCCCCTCGACGAGATCGGCAACGTATTGCGGTTCAATTGTGGCGAGCACTTTGTGCGTAATCAGTGCGACCTCATCACGCGTCACCTTGAGCTCCTCTTGGCTCATGGTGCTGCCCTGGCTCTCCACTTTCTGCATCTTCTCCTTGATCCAGGAGAGCAGGAAGCTGATCTTGGTTTCGTACTCCTTCCATTTCTTGTCAACCTCCTGCAGGGCCACAGGGCATACAGTTCCGTCATTGAGGCAGAGACCACGTGTCGTCACCTGTGTTTGTCAACAGTGTGCGTTTCACTAACCTGCTTCCGTTCCTAAATTAAAACCCTTCTCTTGTCCCTTGCCTATCCTACTGATACTCGCTGCCCCAGCCCAGCTACGACCCCCTTAACCCCTATCACTACCTCTCTATGTGTATGTACGAATGTTGAACTTATTTTACACCGTAAGTAGCCAACCGCGGCTAATCAGAGGTGTGCGGGAAGGACAACAAACCAAACCACTACCCCTATCTAACCACTCCCACTTGTCCTCCTTACTGTGATCTTAACTACACCGACACTTTTATTGACCCCACTTCTTTATTGTAACCACCATCAAATAATGTTCAATTGTATCATTATTGTAAAGCACCTTGGACTAAGGCGCATTATAAATCTATATACGAAAAGACAAGATAAAACTAAACTGAACTATTTTATTTAGGAGGTAAAGCCCACTGGAGCTGTGAGTTATTTTTCAGAGGCGACCTGGCCACACGTGACAGCTCACTGAAGTGGCTTATCATCTTCACCGTGTGGCAATTTATAGTAGCATCCAAATAATAGAAATGCATGTTTCTGAATGAGGAGAGAAAAACCGGAGGACCCGCAGCAAAATCCACGCAACCACCACGAGGAGAGAGAAACACGCAAACTTCAAATATACAACAGGCATCATCAGGGTCTGGGATCAAACCCACGACCTTCTGCGTACACCAGGTGGCCGCAAGATGTGAGATGAAAACATTTCCATTTAGAGAATTGCAGCTAGCAGTGCACCACCCTGTTTCAGAGAATGATCCTCAAACGTGATGCCACACAACTATTTCAAGATATATATATTAAATATGGTCCACATTTTTCTCCAAATATATTCCAATTGTGATAATAGTGTCATGTTGAGGAATCCATTGGGGTCTTCAGTTGAGTAGAGCAGTCCGCACGCCAGAGAAAGTAAGCTCTTTTTACAGGACTTTAGAAAATCCTTGATATTTTTTTACTCGGTAGGGAATCACACTCTCCTATACACGTTGTTATGAGATTGTCCCAAGATAGTCTAACTAGTACGCTTCATCATCAGAATGCATTTAAGCCAAAGTAAGTGCAAAAACCAAATTGAGCAAGATGGTTTCCTGGGCATTGGTTTCATCAAGACGAGGGCATCAACTCACAACATTTGTGCATCTGGTTTAACCACCGGTGGCTGAAACACAGATTCGAGTCCAGCATTTCTGTGGCGCAGGCTAAGAGCTCTAACCTCTGAACCACCCAGCCAATTTACACAACACAATCTTGATATGGGAAGGTGGAAGGTTTGATTAAAAAAAAACTTGTCATGAAAAAATTGCACAAAGCAGCATTGTTTATGGCCACATTTAACTAAAATTCCAAGTCATCCCAGTGAGCACCTTCCTGCGGTGACATGTGGCGGCTTGAAAGGGTCTCTTGTAGGGCTGAACGATTTGAGGGAAAATATCTAATTGCGATTTTTCTGACAGATATTGCGATTTGATTTGCGATTACATTTTTTAAAGTCAAGCATCAGTTCAATAATCACCGTGTAATAGATTTAAAACATGTGATGGAGCATTATCGCATGATGCCATCAAAATAGGAACTGCTCTATGTATTCTAATGCAAGGATGAGAACTTCAAAGATATGAATTGCTTCCAATAAGTATTTCTTAAAATGTTTTAATTGAAATAGAACAATCAAACATGGAACAATTCTTACGTTAAATAAATAACGTTATAATAATATATAATAAAACAATTTCAATAAGAAAGTAATAGGACTTTTCAAATCGCAAAAAAATCGCATCCTTTGCGATTTGCTAATCGCATTGTTTCAAATTGCGATTTCGAATTGAAATCGATGAATCGTTCAGCTCTAGTCTCTTGTTCCAACCCTATGCTGATAAGCCTCACCTCATTTCGCAGGACAACGTTTCTGTTGAGTCCACGATTTTGCACAAGCTCACAACGGTTCTAATAGATGAGCAAGGCAGAGAGTGCAAACTTTTTTAACGAGACTACGGAGTCACAGTCTCCTAGCCGGTCATTACACGTACGATTTCCACATGCTACTTACCATCCACACAAAGGAAAAATTGCAAGGCCTGTATCGAAAACGTCTTCACCTCTGGCTGCCCCCAGTATTTTAAATATATAAAGTTATTTACGAGCCCACTGTTTTTAAGTGGGACGAATTTTCCCACAATTTCCCCCAAAATTGCAAAGAAACCATCGCCACACTTGACCTTTCACTGCAACTCACGTAGATCGTGATGCCATCCGCTGGGATCTTCGGGAAGGCCTCGTAAAGGGCGGCCACGTAAGTCACCACCGACTTCTCTTCAGGAGATTTCACATCGACATCTGCGGGGGGCGCGGGGGAGGGGCGAGTACAATGACTAAACTTTAAACTTGTAGGAAAACAATCACAGCATTTTCAAATGTTACGTAATGCAGTTTCAAATGTTACGTAAAGTTTTCCGGCATATTTTAAACATTGTTTTAATTTGCGGGACACGTCGCTCGAAGATTGTCCGACAGTCGTGAATAGTGATGGAGTGGCAGCCAGGAGATGGAGCGCGTCCGAGAGGACGTCTTGCGCGGAAATCAGCTTGCTGAGCTATCAATTGCGGCCAGGTCGCTTTTTAAAAATAAACCAGTAGCTCAGTGGGCTTTACCTGGTGAAATAAAAATAGTTTAGTTTCATTTATATATTTTTTGTGATTCTCTCTTACCTTTCAAAGACTTAACGTGTTTAAGTAATTTTTTGTTGTTGGAACGTTCTGACCCGCCGCCCACTGGACATCTGTGAAAGAGCTTAATAGCTCATCGGATTCCTCCAAAATAAATACACATTCTGATTCTGGATCGTTACATCGCTGGACCTTGGGAGATGGAAGCAGCTTAAAGAGGCCTCATTCATCACGGCTGACGATGACGCTGAATTTACATTAATTTTACAGAGTTAATTTCATTGTTCAAAGCAGATTTATTAAAATAATAAGTTAGAAAATACAGTTAAGGAATACATTTATATTCTTTTGCATTCATAAATTCGTCTAAACGTACACTATACATCTTTTTCGAGGTTATTTTTTTTATACGTCCCATTAACATTGAGATATTTTCTATATCAATGACTCCTTTTTAAGAGGGACCTTATTTAAACAAAAAAAATGGTCTGTCGTGGAAAGCACAAATTATCTCAGTCTGTTGTCTGTTACAGTGCACGGGCCTGGTTTAGAAAAGCCCATGTGGTATAAAAAAAATCAATCATGCAATTGCCTGCATATTACATCCATACAAGCAGTTGTCCTTCCAGGCAGACTTTATTTGAGCTCAGAAGCACTCAAATAAAGTGGCCCAGCAATATTTTTTGGGGTAAACTATTCCAGTATGTCCAATAATCACGGTAATTTTCCCAATTGTAACCTGAATCCTAGGCATGGCAATGTGCCAATGATAGCAACAATAATAAAGCAACATTGACATCAATAAATTCCACATGAGTCTCAAAAGTTAATTCTGCAAAGGGTACAGCCAGTAACATGTTCTTATAAGAATAACATTAATAATATTTTGGATTTAAGTGCGGCTTGCTTAAATGCTTTAGCATCTCAAAGTGTCTTACATCGCATCTCAACTGAAACGTTCCAAGGACACCCCTAGTGGCAGATGCCCCCGCGTGGCAGAAGGTGACCAGGCACTGGCATGAATGTGAGTCTTAGTCGGCTAGTCCGGGGCAACCAATTAGAATGTCGTCATCCCTACTGATCAATCTACGGGTAATACTTCAGAATTTGGCAATTGTTGACGCTGGCACACAAATGGCCTACTCATTTCAAATGAAGTCACGGGATTTGTAACGTCCGCTCTTGCAGCAGATGGCGGGTATTCATGGTCCATTCGCCCGCATTGTCAACGTGGGCAGGCTGCCAGAGTCGAACTGCGAACCTCCGCAACAAATGGCGAACGAGCTGCTGGCGGGTGGTGCCACAGCCCCCCCGTGCAATGTCCGGATTGTGCCAAGGATGGCGACACATTAACTACCTCGCCTGGTATACAGGAGGTCGTCGTAGGTTCGATCAAGACCCTGACGCCTGTATATTATAAGTTTGTATGTTCTCCCCGTGATCGTGTGGATTTTACTCCGGGTCCTCCGGTTCTACATTTAGAGACGCGCGTTTCGAGTATTTGGCTGCTATAAATGTCCACGTGATGAGCCGCTTCATTGAGCTATTATTTGTGGCCAGGTCACTTCTGAAAAAGAGCTATATAGCTCAGTGGGCCTCACCTGGTCAAAATAAAAAAAATTGTTTCGTAGTTTGAGTCGTGCTCACCTTCGGTGTCAAGCAGGCGTGGGACTCGCAGGTTCTGCTCGGCCAGGCTGAAGGCCTGCTCCAAGTTCTGCTGATTGTTCTGCTGGTAGACCTTCTTCATGTCCAGGAGGTCGGGTCTGCAGGAAAACAACAGCACGCTACTGTTCACCAAACATACCACACGGACACACTCATCGCACCATTTTTCCACGAGTGGTTTTCAACCGGCTTAATTGCTGTGCCGAGCTTGAACCAAACCGTGACACGCTGGCCTCGCAAGACAGGCGAATCTCGCTCGAGGCCGAGCAGGACCACCAGGGACAGAGCTAACACGATGCGCGAATTCCAAGTGACATCAGTCAGCGCACCGCGAGGACACAGCATCACCGTGTCAACTACACACACCTTGACTCATTCATTGCAGCTTTCCCGCGGTGGAAAAACAAACTGGCGCAGGTATTGAAAAACCGTCCAATGGGAAAAAAAAGCCATCGGATATGGGGGAGGGGGCAGCAGCACGCGCTCCGTCACCGGTGGCGGTGGATGATGGCGTTGAAGAGTCTGCCGTCGCGCCACGAAGTCGTGAAGTTGTCGCAGCGCAAGTCCGGGTACTCCTGCACAACGCGACGCACCCACAGCAGGAGGCGCTCCTTCGCGCCCAGGTCCCGATGCTGCTCCCCCACCTGGATGTCAGACACCTGCACGCAGGCGCGCGCACGCACGCACGCGGTCAACGCGTTAGGGTCGCCACGTCTCTCTCACGGACGACCAAACTCAGACACACAAGGGCACCCCGGTGGCGAGATGTTAACTGCCTCGCCTGGTATGCAGGAGGTCATGGATTCGATCTCGACCCTGACGACTGGATATTTTAATTTTGCGTGTCTCTCTCCGTGGTCGCGTGGATTTTTCTCTGGGTCCTCCGGTTTATCCCTCCACATTTAGAATGAGTTTCCACGTGATAAGCCAGTTCATTGGGCTATCATTTGTGGCCAGGTTGCTTCTGGAAAATAGCCATATAGCTCAGTGGGCCTTGGCTGGTTAAATAAAAATAGCAGTCAGCACGAGGTCTATCAAGCCTCTTGTATTGAAGTTCTTGTATTGAAGTTCAATACAATGACGGTAACCACAACTCAGAATAAATCAATTCCCGCCACCCGAAAAAAGAATGCCAAATCGCGGATGACCTCGGTCAAACGCCCCACAGGTGATAAGCCCCCCACTTACGTGGAGGAGGGAATCCTCGTGACTTCCACAAGCTGCCAAAAGCGGTGGGTTCTGTGCAAAAGACTGCAGGCACTCTCAAGGAGACGACGCAAGAGGCTATGTTCGTGCAATCGTTGCTGGAACGTGGATACAGATTTGCTGCGCCCCCTCGTGGACGTTTGGGGTGGCAACCTCCAATCGCAGGAGAGGTCGCATGACTACGTGTGCTTGTGTGCTCTGCGGAGCAGTGACGCTTCATCAAATGGACTTAGAAATTCAGTCGCGCCGAAACCTTGTCGTCCTATGCCACTGCTGTACTAAATGGTCATGGTGCTCGTGGTACTGATGGCGATGATCCCCTGAAGTTGCATTAATGTGTTAAAGCCTTAAACGTCGAGTCGCATCCCTTCTGCCTGACCTCATTCCCTGAAATGACAAACGCAGGCGTTGTAATGTTGTTTTGTTTGTTTCTGTCTGTCTGCAGCATGTCCTTTGTGACCTATTCACTTTCGACACGCTGCTCGTGAGCATGGTAAGAGAGCTTCGAATCTTGCCGATAATTTACGACGGTAATTGTGAGCGAGATTGGCGCAGTCCCTGTAATATTGCAGTGCTCTACAATTTTTATTAAAGTAAAATTCACATCGGTGAGCACGCATTTCTCTCAGTGCAATCAGAGTCCTTTCACCATGTGGCGTCCAGCGATCTGGAACGCTAACGTTTGACTCTCACGTCGGATTGCATTGAACATAACGTGGTGGTCAGAAGGGAATAAACGCGGTGGTGCACAAACACAAACAAACAACAATACATATTCGTGGCATATACAAACACCAGTACTAACGTTTGACTCTCACGTCTAATGATGACTGTTACATTGTTATTATAGCTTTATTTTACTGATTTTGAAAACGTTTTGGTTTAGCCATGTTTGTTTGTTGTAGTACAGAGTTAGCCTGATAACTTTAATCTACATTGTCTTATGGTTGTTATTGTTTGACTTGCACCCCACTCGGATTTTTGCACACAGCATTGAAATACGGTGTTTTTTCTGGAAGACTTTGCTGTTTTTCCAGGATTTTTCTGTTGCGTGTAGTCACTTTAAGATGTTTCTGGTTCATGTTTTTGTTTTGTTGCGGTTGCACCCGAGTCAAGAGCTGCATGGCTCACAGGGTTATACATAATAAATAAAACTGAAATTGCATTGAACATAACGTTGTAGTCAGAAGGGAATAGACATGGTGGCATATACCAACATCAGTGCGACAGATCCCCAGCCATAACTTATTTTAAAACAAGTCTTATATTTCGTGCGGTTGATTGCTCACGTATGTATGTCGAACTACTTTTGCACCGTATGTAGCCAACCGTGCTAATAGGAGGTGTGGGGGGAAAGACAACAAATGTAAACACATAAAGTAGTTCTAAAGAAATGTGTTTTCAATCTAGATTTTAAAGTGCATAGCTCCAGCAGCTTCCTGATATCGGATGGTTGAGCCAGATAATTTAACATTATCTGGCTCAACCGCCTCTATTTTGTCGTTGAGTATTTTTTTATTTTTGTTAATTTTGCCTGAGCGGAAGATGGCAGCCTTCACGCGACCCGCTCTGTGAAGTGAGAAATCGCGACAAATGCCATCGACACGGCGATCGAACATCGATCATCGATCTCCCGGTCTCCAGAGCAGCGACACACTTCTGTTTGCACTTAGTCACATATTCACTTTAAGATGTTTTCTTGTTCATGTTTTTGTTGTTTGTTGCGGTTGCACCCGATTCAAGAGCCGAATGGCTCACAGGGCTACTACCTAATAAATGAACTTGAACCTTGAACGTCACGCCAAATGGCCTTGTTCAGGGCCAAACAACAAGGCGTCAAAATGGGACCTTATTTTTGTCAGTATCAAAGTATGAAAAAATAAGGATAGGTTTTATCTTTTCTGGCAATAAAACAGGTATTAAGATAATTAACCAGGTAGGGTGTTGAATGTTATGTTAGCCGACTCTGTGTTGTATTGCATTATATTTATAAGTTTACTAGGTTTGTTTTCTCTTTCATTTGTACCTGATGATGATTGCTTGTGTTGCAATCGAAACGTCGTATGCTATTACTTAATCTATTTTTTATTTCTACGTGACTTTACCGAAAGAACCAAAGAGTAATTCCTGCAGTCACGAAAGCTCCAAATCAAGTCGGTATTAAGATGTTTAAACACCAAATATAAACTTTTTTTTGCAAGGAATCAAGTTCGCATTAACCACACGTACTTGTGGTGAACATGAAAACAAACACGCTCTGATAGTCCATGGCATTTTCTTTGAACGTGTAAAAAATATTCTTATTTTTTCAACAATGCGTCAGTGAGACCCTGTGACCAAGGCTCCTCCACAACTGAACACAGAGGGCCTCTCCCGTGCGGAGTGCGAGTATCTCGCGAACACAAAACACGTATCATCGACGTCAACATGCAACGACCACAAACAAGAAGGAGACATCAACAGCGATGCACTCCGCTGCTCCTCACGCGGTTGTCTGGGCTTGAACACCCGAATGTGAAATTGTAGTTGAAGAAGAAGCACCATTGCAGCAGCAGCAGCCAAATAGTTTGACTGAAACGAGTTTTTGTTTTCACCACTAGGGGGCTCAACGGCACCGCTGTTGAGATCAACGTACGAACTTGGGCGTTGGCTGGAGAAATTCAACCACGGCAAAGCCACACAGTGGCAAACGCCACGGGATATTGTTACAGGCTCGGCTCTGTCAGCACTCCCTCGGCGATGGCGCGCTAATGCGTCCGTTAAACCCTGTCGGTGACGTGCGCGTTAATGATAATATCGGTCTTCCTGTGCTATTGATCCGAAATGACGGCAACACCACACAATTCGTTTCGACAATGATATCGAGAAGGAGCAGCAGCAGAGGAAACTAGATCCAATGTTAGTTAGCAGGTGCCGTGAGAGATGTCGGTACCCGGTTGGTGCATGTCTGTCGAAACACCGTATAACGACCGCCCTAGAAGGTGGTTGAGACTGATATCAGCCATCGGTCCGCTCGCTCCAGACACGTTACAGACTTTTGCAAGCGTGCCCTTGATCATTTTACTCTTGTGGACGTGAAATAGTTTTCACATTTTCGGCACTCGGGAAGTAGAAGACAGTACTGGGATACACAAATGTCCGAACGCTTGACTCAGGTCTTGGTGTTAAAAGTCTTATCACGAGTAAATGACAATTTAAATTAGAATTTACTCGTGATGAGACTTGAACACCGCGCACATGAAAGATGTGGATGTCTTTGTCCCAACTCCCAGGAATGTGTGTGGGGGGGGGTGTTGCTACCATTCTCAAAGATCATTCAACAAGAACATGGGTTTCTTTTATAGGAGCACTTAAAGTTGTCCGCACCCGGCCCAGTCGAATGTTCTTCACAGCGAGCATATTTACGCATGGCCAAATCATTTGGCCATGCTGCGTTGGCAGTGGTGCACAAGCACGAACGACAATTTTGTTTTGTTTTTTGTAAAAATCGACACGTCCGTCAATAACACTGTGACCTAAAAAAGGAAAAAATAATAGGTAATGTTTCAGGCAGTGACTCTTCCTTGTGCTATGTAGAAGGACCGTTCCCAAAACGTCGTCTATATACTGTTACTTTAAGGCCACAACGGTGTCATTGAAGAATGTGTTTAGGTTTGTCTCTATCGCTCTTCGTGGGGTGACTTGAGACAACAGGGATGGTTAGTGATTTCTTTGTTATTTTTTTTAAAGAAAAGTTGGATTCGGGCTGACAACTGGCACATAATGATATGCTCTTGTATATGATTCATGTCTGTGGATATATACACAACTGTCAAAAGATATTGTACGGAATGTGGTCTCGAAAAAAAAAAACTCTCTTCGCCTATAAAAACGCTGTGTCTTCTACTAGGACAGTACAACTTCAAGTATCCGACTCGCCAGGGACTGAAGTACCGTAGAGGCGGATATGTAAAGAGATTGCAAATGTGATAGCCTTAGAAACGATAAATAAATGCAACTGCTTTAAATATTTCTTTACATTACTTTAGAAGTGAACATGTGTAGGGCTAACAATGCGTCGCTCTTCGTGAAATAGTCAGCTGCTTTTTGTGTTTAAGTTTGTCCTTCCCCCGCACCTCCGATAAGCACGGTCGGCTACGTACGGTGCGAAAGAAGTTCAACGTAGATGCATACAACGGTTTGAACATCTATGGCGCATGTGGCATTGGCAGTGGTGCACAAACGCAAATAACAAAAACTCTGTTTTGAGTTTTTTTGTCGCAGAAAATTACAGTTACACAATGCGACTAAACACCTGTGCGTACCCAATGTACGTTGAACTTCTTTTGCACCATACGTAGCCAACCGTGCTAATCAGAGGTGCGGGAAATGTGGGTGGTTCATTTGGTTAGGGTGGATACGTGACGGTCGGATATGCGACATTGACCCGTGATTGCAAATATACTCGTCTTTG